CATATCGCTGCACGTCGTTAGCAGAATCAGGCCAATAATACTGACGGTGCAACAACTTCTGGGTTTTATCAACCCCGAAATGTCCGGAGAGGTTGGAATCATGGACCTCCTGAATAAGGAGTTCGCGCAGCAGCCGGTAAGCGGGAACCCAAATCCGGTCAGTTCCGGCCTTTAGGTAATAATTCCCTTTCTGCGTCGTCGCCTGCTGGTGATTTCCAGTCGTGAAGAACGGGTCCGTAGTGTAGCCGTGGGTGAATAGCCCCGAAAGAAGCGGGTTCAAATGGGTGATCAGCACAGCAGAGGATTGGACTGTCGGTCGGGTCAGGGCGTCGGCAATGTTGTTCGCGCCCTTTTTTGTAGGTGATCCTGTAGTGGAAGTGTGACTCCATGTAATCGAGCCACCGGATTTGTCGCGGGTTGAGGTTGGGCTGGGCTCGCAGGTACTGTAGGGACTTGTGGTCCGTGCGAACAGTGACGTCGGCGCCCGTCAAGTAGCAGCGCCACAGTTTGAATGCATGAATGATGGCGAGCATCTCCTTGTCGTGAATCGGGTAGTTGCGCTCGGCTGCCTGCAACTTGCGTGACTCGTAGGCGATCGGTTGTAAGCCGTTGCCAAAATCCTGGAGCAGCACTGCGCCGATGGCAAAATCTGAAGCGTCGGTGACAACTTCGAATGGCTTTGATGGATCGGCAATGCGAAGAACCGGAGGGGACACCAGTAACTGCTTCAACTCCTGAAAAGCCGCCTCAGCCTCCTCCCCCCACACGAAATTCCTATCCTTGTGCAGCAGGTCGGTCAGCGGGCCGGTTATCCCCGCCATATTCGGGATAAACCGCCGGACATAATTCACGAACCCCAGAAAACTTTGAAGTTCCGTGACATTAGTCGGGGCCTTCCACTCCTGGATGGTCTTGATTTTCTTCGGGTCGATTTTGATGCCGTCGCGTGAGATGACGTGCCCCAAAAACTCCAACTCTTGCTTAAAAAACTCGCACTTAGAGCCCTTGGTGATGAGGCGGTTCTCCTGCAACCGCTTAAATACTGCGTCGAGGTCGCGGAGGTGCTGCTCGCGTGTCCTGCTAAAAATCAGAATATCGTCCAAGTAGACGATAACACACTTGTCCAGCAGGTCGCGAAATACCCTGTTCATGGTGCGTTGGAATGTTGATGGCGCGTTCGTGAGGCCGAAAGGCATCACTGTGAACTCGTAGCTGCCGTAGCGGGTTTGGAAGGCGGTCTTGTGACAGTCGTCAGCGAAGACCCTGATCTGGTGGTAACCGCCGCGTAGGTCAATTTTCGAGAAGTAGCGAGCGCCGCGAAGTTGGTCGAGGAGGTCGTCGGTGCGTGGGATGGGATAGCGAGATTTTATGGTAACCCGGTTGAGCGCGCGATAGTCGATGCACATGCGAATGCCGCCGTCCTTCTTCGGTGTGAACAAGATCGGGGCAGCGAAGGGCGAAGTACTGGGTCGGATGAAGTCCTTCTCCAACAGTGACTCAAGTTGATTTCAAAGCTCTGCGAGTTCGGGCTGAGTCAACCGCCACTGAGTGCGAACAGTCGGCTGCGCGCCAGGCTCCAGCTGGATTTTGTGGTCTTCGGGTCTCTCGGGTGGCAGGCCAGGTGGCAAATCGTCGGGGAAGATGTCGGGGTACTGTCGAATCAGCTCCGCTAAATCCGGTGGTACAGCTGCACACAGCTTCTCGATGTCGTTTCCGTCGGTGTCGGCTGCCAACTCGCGCAAGCATACGGCGAACAGTTGCGCACCCCTGTTGACGTGGCGTGTAATAGTGATGGCTTTGACGCATGTAGACTCGATGCAGTCCGGAGTCCACGCGGGCAGAGTAATCAGCTTCCCGTCCTTGCTGATGCTGCACGATCCCGTCGTCCAATCGATTATCGGGTTGTGCCGTCGCAGCCAATCGCGCCCCAGGAGCACGTCGCATCCGTCCAACGTCGTCGCGAGAAACTTCATGCTGAAGCCGAAATCGTCGCCGCACTCAATCCGCACCGTCCGTGTTTCTTCCAAAATCGCCAGAGGCGTCCCATCCACGAGGCGGGCGTCAATTTCGGGCAGACACCTGTCCAGCTGCAACTTGCATTTTTTTGCTGTCGCCAGATTGAAGAGGCTATGGCTAGCCCCGCCATCGACGAACATTTTTATTTTTTTCTTAACAACCGTGCCAACAACCAGCACAGGGTGATCCACATGTTCACCCCCGTTATTCGTCCGAGTGCGATCGATTGCATGAATCGGAACCACGACTCGGTGGGGATGGTGGGGTTCGGGCGACAGAGCACAGTCAGTAAGGGGCCCGTCTGTTACTGACTCTTCCCATTTCCCGGCTCCTTCCCGTCGTTCCTCTTTCCCTGCGTCCTGTCGGGGCAGTCTTTATACATGTGGCCCGGCTTCCCGCACTTAAAACACAACCCTGTAAAAGGGCGGTCTGGCGCATGGACTCCGTTAATCGTGGCCCGCTGGGTCTGTCCACGAAATCGGTTTCCCTCCCGAGAACTCGATCTCGCCCACTGCATCAGCGCGTCTGTGCTCTCGGCCAATCGGACGGCTTCGTTGAATGTTGTCGGGCGGTTTCGGCGCACCTCGAACTGTATCTCGTACTTGAGGCCGCTGATGTATTTATCCAACCGCTCTGCCTCCGCCAAGTCGTCCACTTGGTCCGCGAGCGCCATAAACGACGCCGTGTAGTCTTGAACAGAAGCCAACTGCGACCAGGTACGCAGCTTCATGCGAGCGTGTTCCGAGGCGGATACATGCTCGAAACGCTCTCGTAAGGCTGCGCCCCACTGCTTCCACGTGCGAATTGTGGCCACACCGAATATCGATGATGCCCTCCCAATAGCAGAGTCCGAAGTCCCGTCTGCCGCATGTGTCACACCTGTCGGGGTCCCCGTGTTTAAGGTTCGTCGCCACCACTCAAGCGCCGGGCCTCGCAGAAGCGATACCGCGTAATTAATACGCGTGGCGTCGTCGTTGACGTTCGCTGCAGTGAAGAACACCTCCACGCCGAACAACCACCCCTTAACAGTAGTGTTCTTGTTGGTAAGGTTGAACGGGGGCGGGCTCGTAGGCTTTATCTTGATTGTTGTCACTGCAACTGTTGTCGCTGCCGCCGCTCGCTGCCTATCTTCTTCTTCGAAGCCGCGTGTGAGCTCCTCCAACGGATTGCCGCTCACCGCTTGACCAGTGCTCTCGCCTTCTTCAGCGGGCGACTCCTGGCGCGCTTCACCTCGCGCCTGGCGTAGCTCGTTGTTTTCTTCACGTAGTCTCTCCACCTCTGTCGTTAACGCCTTCATGCCTGCCGACATCTCCGCCACTTGCTGCATCAACGCGTCAAATGCCGCCTGGTCCATGAGTCGCAAGCTACGTCTAACAGGCAAGTGGGTCTCCGTGACTATCCGGCAACAGTGCAAGCGCAAAAGCTATCGGAGTCGGGCAAGTTTAATTTAATAAACTTTGCAACCAACCGCTTTGCAGCCCACCGTACCAGTCACACCCGTGCCTCTAAACTACCCTGGAAAAGCGGGGTGAACTAGGAAAGTAGCTCTGATACCAGGTGTTATGAGTTGTCAAACAGAGTTGCGCGGAATAACGAATAACGAGGCTGTGACTCAATGAATTGACGATACAATGAAAGACATGCGATTATATAGCGAGGCAACCTAACTAGGCGGGAACCTCGGGAACACGAGGTTGAGTGCAGGTTGGGCAAAGGAAAGCCGAAGGCGACGCGAGGTTGCTTCGGCAGCAAGCAAAGCGGCCGAACGTGCACTTCCGAAAGTTGGGGTTGTACGCGGTTGAGTAAACCCCAGTAAGGAAAAAGGGTTTTTCCTTACACGGAGGAACGGAATTGCGAATCCCACATGATTGTCAAATGTTTGCAATCCCAAGGGGAAAGAGTCATATACGTAGTGCTCAATACTCATGCTTTAGTGCCAACATTGCTCGGGACGGGATCAGTTTATGCTGAGCACAGGGAAATCAACAGCTTTCCAGGCACGCACAGCAAAAATTAAAGAGGAAAATGCAGCACGACACATTTACTTGGCCAATCAAACACATTTGCTTGCCTGCATGCTGATGTACGGTAAGCGAAGCAGCCTAATCTAGTCAAACTAACAATCCTGACTTTTCTAGACTACTCTCCAGTCATTAGGCACACCATACCACACCATACATAAACAACACGGGAGTATAAGCCACACCCTCAACGTTTTTTATGAGTAATCCAACGAAGTATCGTACATCATGGCAATGTCGTGGCACGCACAGCATCTGACGTGGCACCCTATGTGGCAGATGATGCAGGCGCGATATGATTGGTCGGCGGATGCAATGGCAGCAGCAATGCGCTGCCCACCACGCTTCCTCCTGCTGCTCTCTGATTGGTCAGAGAGTGCTCCTTTATGATGTCAGCATGATGTCGGCACGCCCCCGTATGGGTGGTCAATGGAGATGGGTATGGATGGGTATAAATGGGTGGTATTGGTGATGCAAAGGGATGATGCGAGATGATAGTGTGGCGAGGCGTGTGACCGGGACGGTTGGCGACGAAATGAGTCGGGGGTAGCCACATCAAATTTAATCAGGATCAGATCTTGTTAAGTGCTTATGCTGCTGCTGCTGGTGGTGGTGGTGCTGCTGCTGCTGCTGCTGCTGCTTCTGCTCATGCTTCTGCTGCTCGCCTCCCCGCTTAGCAGAAGGCTGAAGACTGCTCACCTCCTCTACTTGCTGCTGACCTAACACCCTATGTCTTCTCGGGCGCTTCGTGATATGACAAAGTAAGAGGCCCCTTTAGCTAAGGCCTGCTGTTCTATGTTGATAAATGGAAGCTTCAGGGATGCAGCTTCCGTGCAGCTTTGCAGCTGCTCACTGCTACTGTTCTCCTGTAATCTGATCCAGGCTGACCACAAAACGTGCCACGCGCCTGCCGCCACGTCAGCCGCCACGTCAGCTGCCACGCCAGCCGCCACGTCAGCACAGCTAGATCCCGTACGTGGCACTGAGCTTCTGCAGCAGCTGCTTGTCAGTGGACTGCAGGATTTGATCCCACGTGCCTGCCTCCACTAGCATCTGTTGGTAGGTTGTGCGGAACACACATGCACGGGATGAGAGGAGAGGGTTTGGTATCAAAGTCGGCTCAGAGGACTGCAGGATTTGATCCCACGTGCCTGCCTCCACTTGCATCTGTATGTAAATATGTGCATAACAGACATGAGGTGAGGGGCGGAAAAGCAGGGGGTTTAGCATTAAGGCCAGTCTGGTGGACTGCAGGATTTGATTCCACATGCTTGCCTCCACTAGCATCTGTTGGTATGTGGAGCACAATAGACGTGAGGGGCGACAGAAAAGGGCAAAACAGAGACCTCTGGTTACCACATGAAAGAACAAGCTGGATTAGGTCCGTAGAGATGCTCAAATCACCACACGTGGATAGGAGGGAGCTGGATTAGCCCTACAAACTTGCAGCAGGCGTTTCTTAGGCGCTTAAGAAAGGAGGTATCTCCTGCCATCTTTCCTTTCCACCCACCTGCTTAAAGCCCTGCAGCAGCTGGTGAATCTCCGCCTTCAGCTCTGCACTGTGAATCTCCTGAGGATGCCAATAAAGGGGATGTTTTGGAAGGGGGCAAGAGGATTGCATGTGGGTTGATTCGCCTGCAGGTTAATGTGGGAATAACTATATGTGCGAATACTATATCTTATATGCATGTGCATATGCGGGGTGCATGTGCATATGTGGGGTGTGTGTGCATCTGTGTGTGCGTGTGCATGTGCGGGTGCGTGTGCATCTGTGTGTGCGCGTGCGCACGAGGCGAACGCACGTGTGAGTGTAATGGAAGGGTGTTAAGGGCAGGAAAGGCGGAGACGCGAGGGCGAATTCGGGGGGGGGGGAGGCGGGGGGGATGAGGGCAATTGTAGCAAGGCATGATTTCCATCAGCTGAGCAGCTACTTGAGAAATGTTGATTAGAGAGAGAGAAGAGAGAAATGTTGATTGACCCACCCTCCAGCTGCCAATGGCGAGCAGCAGTGGGTGGATGGCGGTAGATGCTGCCATGGGGTTCAGGCGCAGCTGGTGGGTGGGGGGAAAGGGGATGGGACGAGAGGGATGCGAGAAAGGTATGGGAAGGGATGGGAAAGGTATGGGAAGGGATTTTTGAGGCGCCTCAAAGATGGGAAAGGTATGAGTGTGGCAGCAGCGGGTGGATGGCTGTGGATGCTGCCATGGGGTTCAGGCGCAGCTGGTGGGTGGGGGGAAAGGGGAGAGCAGGGGGGACAGGAGGGAGACACAGGATCGGGAGTAAAAGATTGGGGCATGTAGAGTGGTGGCGGGACACGGGGAATGAATCCATGGTCATGGAAAGACTGAAAGGCATGCATGCAGCACAGCACACGGCAGTGCAACAGCACAGATCACCACAGCGGACAGGCCAGGGCACATCACAAGGCACACAACGCATGTATACAGCAAACACAGCACAGCAGCGGCCACAGCAGTGGCGACAGCAGCAGTTTGCCTCACTTTTGGGAACTCTCAAAAGTGGCACAATGTACTCACCACAGCGCAGAGCCCTTTAAACGCCTCTTCTTTCTCAACATCATCACGAACCCTGGAGGAAGGGGAGGGAAGACAGGGAAAGGCGCGGGTGCTTTTGAGTCGACTCAAAAGCGAATCCTGGAGGAAGGGGAGGGAAGACAGGGAAAGGCGCGGGTGGGAGCAGGGTGGCGATATGGGAACAGGAAGTGCGTACTGGAAAAAAAAAAAGAGGGGGGCAGCTGCCGGGGTGCGGGGGTGGGAGGGTGGCACGAGTAACTAGGGGAAAAGGAGGAGGCAAGGCGAGTGACAACGAGAAAATCAAACGGCCAAGAATGAGGAGGAGTTGAAAAACGACAGGCTTGTGGCGAGGAAGGGCACGAAGAAAAGAGGCCTGAGGCGCCAAGACGTTAGCAGGGAGCAGCATGCTTGGCACTCACTCACCCTTTGAGCGTGGTGAAGAAGGTCACGAGGAAATGGGAGGCCTGGGGAACCAGCACGTCAGGGCACACCCACGCAGCACGGCAACATGGCAGGGGGGGCAACTTGGGAGGTTCACCCTTTAAGTGTGGCTGCATCACAACTTACCCTTTGCACGAGGAAGTGAGAGGCCTGGGGGGCCAGCACGTCAGGGCACACCCACCCATGCAAAGTGAGAGGGCCCTACAGCTCTGTTCAAGGCTCACCCCTTGAGTGTGGTGAGGAAGGGCACGAGGAAGTGAGACGCCTGGGGCGCCAGCACGTCAGGACACACCCATGCAAAGCGGCCGAGCGTGATTGCACAGTTCTCCACAAGGGCTAGATTGGTGCCCTGAGGGAGGACAAAAAGGGGCGTGTGAGAGGGGCGTGGGGGGTGTGGGGGGGAAGGGAGGGGCGCCAGCACATCAGGGCACACCCACGCGAAGCGGCCGAGCGTGATTGCACAGTTCTCCACCAAGGCTAGATTGGTGCCCTGAGGGGGAAAGAGGGGGGTAGGAGGGGGTTGGAAAGAGGAAGGGGGAGGGGGGCAGAAGGGAGGGCGGGAGAGTGTGCATGGATAGCAGTCGGACAAGTCAATGCAGTCAGACGAGTTTCACGGAACAGAGCAGCACAACATGCACCCGCGGGTTCTGCGCGGATGTGAGGACAGGCATGATGCTGTTCAGCACCAAGTCAACCAAGTCAATGCAGTCAAACAAGTCAACGCAGTCAAATGGGTTTCATTCAGCAGCGCAGCACTGCACTCACCCGTGGATTCTGTGCAGAGGTGAGGACGGGAACGATGTTATTCAGCACCGGCACCACCGCTGGCGAGATCTCCTCTCGCACCTGATGGGGGTCAAGTCAACAAGGGTCAATGGGGTCAACAGGTCAATGGGGGTCAATACAGAGATACTAGGGTGCTGGCACGGCACGATGTTATTCAGCACCGGCACCACTGCTGGCGAGATCTCCTCTCGCACCTGTTGAGTTGAGAGTCAAGTTAACCATCATCAACAAAATCAAAGCGGCTCCAAAAATAGAGCGACGAATGATGGTATTGTTGAAATAGGGGGAATGGGGACCTCAATGGAGTTTAAGGTCAACCTCCCCATCAAAATCCTTCTCGCCCTGACTCCCTTCCAGAGAGCATACCTTGACTGTCATCTCCTCCAGAGCCCAGCACGCGTTGTTGACCACTGAAATGTGCACTAAGGACTCCAGTCGGGGCCGTTCAGCTGGCCCTCTCCCCCCCCCCCCCCCCCACTCCCCCTTCACCTGCCAGGTCAACCCACCTTGACAGCCAGCTCACCCAGCGCCCAGCATGCGTTGTTGGCGACTGAAATCTTCTCGTGCAGAAGGGCTCGAATCGGGGCCGTTCAGCTGGCTTACCCCTGCCCTCCCCTTCGCCTACCAACCTCTGAGACCCTGGGAGAACAATCACGACCACCAGGGCAACACCCCTTCACAGCCAGCTCCCCCAGAGCCCAGCAGGCGTTGCTGGCGACTGAAATCTTCACGTGGACAAAGGACTCGGGGCCGTTCAGCTGGCTCACGCACACCCATTTTCCCTCTCCTCGCCCCCTTCTCCCCGTCAGCCTCGGGAGCATACCTTCACAGCCAGCTCGCCCAGAGCCCAGCATGCGTTGTTGGCGACTGAAATCTTTTCGTGCACAAAGGACTCGGGGCCGTTCAGCTGGGTCACGCACACGGAGAGGAAGTCGTTGAGGCGCGGCCGCACTTGCTGCACACACGACTGGCAGGAGCAGGGGCGAGAGTCAGGCCGAGAGGGAGGGTATTCAGGGGGGAAGAGTACGGGTTTGCTAGTGTGCTGACCGTTCAGCTGGGTCACGCACACGGAGAGGAAGTCGTTGAGACGCGGCCGCACTTGCTGCACGCATGACTGGTGGGTGCAAGGGGGAGAGTCAGGCAGGAAGGAAGGAATTTTAGGAGGGAGTGAGTGGGTTTGCAAGCGCGCCGACCTGTCAGCTGGCTCGCGCACACTCGGAAGTCGTTGAGGCGTGACACACAAACTAGCAAAACAAAGCATGCACACCTTAGTAAGGTCACCCAACAGAGCCAGAGAGCTCTGCTTGACGTCGTTGGCATCCACCGCACAGCACTGCACTTTGTCTGATAAACTTTATCACAGACCGTCTAGTAAGCCACACCTTGGTGAGGTCACCCAGCAACGCCAGCGAGCTCTGTTTGACGTCGTTGGCATCCACCGCACAGCACTGCATCAGCAGGTCCGTCAAGCTGCTCTTGGCGATCCTAAGGTCTTATCAGCAACACAGGCGCTCAGCATACCTTAGTCAAATCACCCAGCAAGGCCAGTGAGCTCTGCTTGACATCGTTGGCATCCACAGCACAGCACTGCAACAGCAGGTCTGTCAAGCCGCTCTTGGCGATCTGGTGGCGTGGGGAGTGATGGGAGCAGGGACGGACATGCGTGAACAAGAGCAGAAGAAGGACAATGGGGGAGGGGGCAGAGAGCAGGGTGGAGGGTTCAAGAAAAGCCAGCGAAAACGTTTTGTTACGAAGTAACATAAATTCCGCCCAAACCGAATGTTACTTACAGATTACATCAAATCCAGATCCAGCGTACCTTATAGTGAGTCACTCACCAGTGGCTCAACCGACGGTCCAAGCCCCTGCACGACTTCTGAGCTGAGATCCAGGGCGCACACTATAAACTCCTTGGTGCACTGCAATACAAGGGGCGCTTCACGAATGCACACACCACTCACCAGCGGCTCAACTGACGGTCCAAGCCCCTCCACGACTCCTGAGCTGAGATCCAGAGCGCACACTATAAACTCCTTGTCGTATGGCGCCCCTGCTGCTGCTGGGTCCTTCTGTGATGGGGGAAGGACATGGGGCGGGGGAAGGTGGCGAAGGGGGGGTGTGGGGAGGAGAGGGGGATGGAATAAGACATTTAGAGCCCACATTATAAACTCCTTGTCGTATGGCGCCCCTGCTGCTGCTGGGTCCTTCTGTGATGGGGGAAGGACATGGGGCGGGGGAAGGCGGCGAAGGGGGGGTGTGGGGAGGAGAGGGGGATGGAATAAGACATTTAGAGCCCACATTATAAACTCCTTGTCATATGGCGCCCCTGCTGCTGCTGGTCTTTCTGGGAAGGGAGACAAGAAGCGGCGGAAGAGGTAAAGGGGAGGAGGGGGGAGGGGAGAAAAGGGAGGAGGAAGGGGGATAGAAGATAGAATCCAGCATCCATCCGCATACGGAGTAAAGGCGGGTCCCGAGGCCTGAGCCACAGACACAGAGGCCCCTCACTCTCTCCAACTCCATAAAACCCATTGACACCACATTTCATCCCCTTACACACCACTTGATGCGCAGTCACCCCCCATCATACCTGTGCCACGAGCTGCACTCTGATGATATGGCAGCAGCGAGCTAGCACCGTCTCAGCGTATGGAGCAAAGGCGGGGCCGAGCACCTGAGCGACACACCGCCCCTCCTTAACCCACTGTTCCCATCTTCACTGTACTGCACCCTTCTCCACCGCACTGCATACCTGTGTCATGAGCTGCCCTCTTATGATATGGCAGCAGCGTGCCAGCACGGTCTCGGCATACGGAGCAAAGGCGGGGCCCAGGGCCTGAGCCGCACACGCACATGTCTCTCACACTCCGGCACCTCATAAAACACCCCGAAACCGCACTTAACCTCTCTACAGAGCAGTACACACCTGTGCCACGAGTTACACTCTGATGATATGGCAGCAGCGTGCCAGCACGGTCTCGGCAAAGGGAGCTAAGGCGGGGCCCAGGGCCTGAGACACACACACGAGCCTCCTCAACACAAAGCTCCCCTCTTCACCGCACTGCACACCTACCTGTGCCACGAGTTGCACTCTAATGATATGACAGCAGCGTGCCAGGACTGTCTCGGCATACGGAGCAAAGGCAGGGCCCAGCGCCTGAGCGACAGAGGTGCACCACCTATCTACCGCACCCCACCCCTCACCTGTGCTACGAGCTGCACTCTGATGATATGGCAGCAGCGTGCCAGCACGGTCTCAACGTATGGAGCAAAGGCGGGGCCCAGCGCCTGAGCCCTCACACGCAAGGGCCTCTCACTCCCCTCCACCTTTAAAAACCCCTCGTCACCGCATTTCGCCCCTCTGCACAGCATTGCATACCTGTGCCACGAGCTGCACTCTGATGATGTGGCAGCAGCGAGCCAGCACCGTCTCGGCATATGGAGCAAAGGCAGGGCCCAGTGCCTGAGCGACGGAGGTGAAGCACTCGAGCAGTGGAAAGATGTCGCGATCAAAGTCGGATATCTGCTGCCACTTGGTTGTGAGAGGCGGCATCAGCACTGCGATGTAACGCGGCTGGTGGGAGGGCAAGGGGAGGGGAGTATAGAGGTGTGGGAGCTGGTATAAGCAGAGGTGAAGCACTCGAGCAAAGGGAAGATGTCACGATCGAAGTCGGAGATCTGCTGCCACTTGGTCGTGAGAGGCGGCATTAAAACCGCGTGGCTGGTGGGAAGGGAGGAAGGGAGGGCCAGGGTGGCGGGGGAAGGGGAGGGGAAAGGGAAAGGGAGCATGAAGTAAAGGCAGAGGTGAACACTCAAGCGGAGGGAAGATGTCACGATCGAAGTCGGAGATCTGCTGCCACTTGGTTGTGAGAGGCGGCATCAGCACTGCGATGTAACGCGGCTGGTGAGGGGAGGGGGCCAGAGTGGGCAGGAATTGAAAGTGGGGAGTGGAGAGTCCGCAGGGTGGGGAGGGTGAAGGGTGGAAGGGTGTAGAGGTATAGGCAGAGGTGCAGCACTCGAGCAGTGAAAAGATAGATGCCTCAAACCCCACAAGTATAATCACACACATCTTGCCCCGCCCATTCTCTCCCCATGTGGCCTCATCCTCCCCATATAGCCACTCACATCTTGCAGTGTTCCCCCCACACAGTCTGCCAGAGTGCCCACTGCATCGTACAGAATGCGCAGGTTGCGCCGCTGCGAACGAGGAGAGGGTAAGAGTGGGGTAAGGAATGGCCAGAGAGGGGAAAGAGAGGGGTAAGGAGGGGCACGAGAGGGGTAAGACAGGGATAAGAGGAGTAAAAGTGGGCCCCACACAAAATTCTCCCACGGAATGGTTCTAATATCCATCCAATACGTTCGCATGAAAGAGGCTCTCATACGGACAATCTCATACTAAGTTCTGACAGGCACAGCCACACAACCTCCAGAAACAAAGGTCCTGTTCGATAAAAACTCCTGAGAATCTGTTGCACCCACCTGATGTTACTCTGAAGCTCTGTTGCAATCACCTGGTACTTGCTGAATGCGAAGGCGAGGTGCTGCAGAATTGGCTCCAGGCGATCAGGCAACTCGTCCACCGCCTCCTGCTCAGGTGATTGGGGAGGGAGAGGGGGAGAAGAGACAGGGGGGAGGGGAGAAGGATGTGGGAAGAGGAGGGGGTGTGGGATGTGGGGAGGTGCTGCAGAATGGGCTCCAGGCGATCAGGCAGCTCGTCAACTGCCTCCTGCTCAGGTGGTGTGAGGGAAAACAGGGAGGGGAGTGAAGGTAGGGGGAAAGGGAGCATGACGGCTTTTGAGGAAAGAAGCAGTTGGGCTTTTGGGAGAGGTGCTGCAGAATGGGCTCCAGGCGATCAGGCAGCCCGTCCACTGCCTCCTGCTCAGGTGGTGTGGGAGAAGTGGGGGGGAGAGACGAGGGAGAGAGGGGAAGAAGGTGGGAAGAGGAGGAAAGGAGCACATGGCTCTTTAAAAGAGGTGCTGCAGACTGGGCTCCAGGCGATTCGGCGGCTACTCGTCCACTGCCTCCTGCTCAGGTGAGGACAATGGAAGAGGGGGTGAAAGGGGCGGGGGAAAGGGGGGTGCCGGGACAGAGGGGAGAGAGGAATCGAGAGCGAGTGGTGCTGCAGAACGGGCTCCAGGCGATCAGGCAGCCCGCCCGCTGCCTCCTGCTCAGGTGGTGGTGGTGGGGGGAGAAGTGGGGGGAGAAACGGGGGAGACCGGGGAGGAGGTGGGAAGAGGAACGGGCAGGGGCAGATGGTTCAATCAAAGAGGTGCTGCAGAATGGGCTCCAGGCGATCAGGCAACTCGTCCGCTGCCTCCTGCTCAGGTGGCATAGGAAGGAACAGAGGGATATATCACAGAGATGGTTATTGAGGCGGACAACAAGTGCGTGTCGCAGGCGAGATTGTTACCGAGGGGGTTTTCAACCCCCTTAACACTCACACCTCCTCCTGCTTCTCACCTCTTCCAGTGTGGCGAATGCAGAGCAAGCGGCCTCCTGAACCCGCTTGTTGTTGTCTAGAATCCTCGCCAGGAACCCAGTAAGAACTGCGTCAAACTGCTGCTGCCCCTCGGGCTTGTCAACGGCGCGGGCGATCCACTTGGAGTAGCGAGACAGCGTCCAACATGTGATGCTGCGCACCAGCGGGTGCGGGTCTTCTAAGTTCTCTGCCTACCTGCCTGCCTACCTGCCTGCCTGCCTGCCTGCCTACCTGCCTGCCTGTGTTCTAGCCACCGCCTGACCATCTCACCTCTTCCAGTGTCGCGAAAGCAGAGCAGGCCGCCTCCTGAACCCGCTTGTTGTTATCCAGGATTCTTGCCAGGAACCCAGTCAGCACGGCATCGAACTGCTGCTGCCCCTCGGGCTTATCAACGGCGCGGGCGATCCACTTGGAGTAGCGCGAGAGCGTCCAACACGTGATGCTGCGCACCAGCGGGTGCGGGTCCTCCAGCAGAGGCAGCAGGTGGGCGATCATCTGCGGCAGCGCAGGCAGCAGCCCGTCAATGCAGCCCTCTGCTACAGCTCCCACGGCCAAGACTGAAGCTTCCCTCTCCTTCCACTTGCCCTCGCTGCGGTCTGCAAGATTCGTCTGGAGTGTGGGGGGTGGGGAAAGGGAAGGGGGAAGGGGAGGGGGAGGGGAGGAGGGGAGGGGAGGGAAGGGGTAGGGGAGGAGGGGAAGCAGGAAGGAGGGAGAGGGAGGCAGTGAAGGAGGAAGGGAAGGAGGAAGGGAAGGAGGAAGGAGGGGTGGGTCTTCCAGGAGAGGCAGCAGGTGGGCGATCATCTGCGGCAGCGCGGGCAGCAGCCCGTCAATGCAGCCCTCTGCTACAGCTCCCACGGCTAAGACTGAGGCTTCTCTCTCCTTCCACTTGCCCTCACTTCTGTCTGCAAGATTCGTCTGGAGTGTGGGAGGTGGGGAAAGGGAAGGGGGAAGGGGAGGGGGAAGGGGAGGGGAAGGAGGGGAAGCAGGAATAAGAGAGAGGGAGGCAGTGAAGTGAAGGTGGAAGGGAAGGGGGAAAGGAGTGGGTCCTCCAGGCGAGGCAGCAGGTGGGCGATCATCTGCGGCAGCGCGGGCAGCAGCCCGTCAATGCAGCCTTCAGCTACCGCGCCCACAGCTAGGACAGAAGCTTCCCGCTCCTTCCACTTGCCCTCACTGCGATCTGCGAGGTTCGACTGGTGGGAAAGGGGGGAAGGAAAGCAGTGCAGTGGTATGTGGCGGGGGGGGGAGGGGAAAGGGAAACGGAAGGGGGGAAGCAGGGAAGCAGGAAGTGAGGGAGTAGATTTACTGGCATTAAAGGGCTAGGTAATGAGGAGAAACATGGAATTCAAAAAGGAAGCACTTGCTTCTATCCCCTGCATGATGAGAGCTGAGAAGACATTTTGATAAAACACTTGCTAGCAACTGAAGGGGCTAGAGGGGATAGAAACGCACCTGGATGAGAGGCATGAGGATGGGCAGCAGCGCGTCTCCGAAGACGTGCGAGAGGATGTCCAGCCCTGCTGCACTGCATTGCATTTGAGGAGCTAGAGGTGGTATATGGGCTAGGGGGCTTAAAGAGGGCATAGCGGGACTAGAAGCGTTGGGAGCGCACCTGGATGAGAGGCATGAGGATGGGCAGCAGCGCGTCCCCAAAGACGTGCGAGAGGATGTCCAGCCCTGCTGCACTGCACTTGCGCAGGTTCCACGTGCTTGCACTCTCATCGTAGTCCTCTTCGGCGTCCTGTGTGGTTAAGTGCGTGTGCAAGGACAGGAGGACGAAGGGACGTATGAAGGTGTGGCAGGTGCCTTGCCCTGCTGCACTGCACTTGCGCAGATTCCACGTGCTCGCACTCTCATCGTAATCCTCCTCCGCATTCTGGAAAGCGTCTGGGTCAGTGTGTGTTTGCAAGAAAAGGGGAAGAAGAGACACATGAGGGTGTGGCAACTGGTGGTCCTACTGAGCTCCACTTGCGCAGATTCCACATGCTCGCAATCTCATCATAGTCCTCCTCCGCGTCCTGTGTGAGTCAATGTGTGAGAGGGTGGGTGTGTGCGGGTGTGTTGGGGGGAGGGTGAAGAGAGACTGAGGGGTAAAAAGTAAAGCCCCGCTCCATTTGCGAAGGTTCCACGTGCTCGCACACTCATCATAATTCTCCTCCGCATCCTGGTTAACTTAAAGGGAGGGTCGGGGGGTATGCATGCGTGTGTGGGCGTGAGAGACGTTGAAACAAAGAAATGCATTGCAAGCTGAACAAATGACGCCATCAAGGTTGACTGAAAAGCTTCAGGCGGGCCGCAAGCGAACTCTCGAACTTGTTGCAAGTCAACTGTGGAGTCATCTCACCAGCTCCATCAAGTCACTTGCGGTCAAACGTAGTCAACTGCAGTCAACTCAAGTCATTCTCACTCACCTCGCCATTGGCACCGTGCAGCCTGGACTGATGGAATCGCGGCTTGAGATCCTGGGAGGAGTAACACACAGGGAAGAGGAAGATGGGATGAGAATATTAAGAGTTCTCAAAACCCTCCCAGTTGAGAGGCTATGTAGGAAGGGCAGAGAACGTCAGGAGAGGGAAATTAAAGGAGTGAAAGATGAAAACCTGAGAGTTGCAACGAGGACACCCACGGGAAACTTGGTATTTCTCACCTGATCAGAATCGGGTGCGTCTCCTTCGTCCTGTGAGGGGTACAGCAGCGGCAGAGGGACAGGAAACATAGGGGTCATATGGCAAGATCGGAATGCTGAATTTGATCAACTCAACCTTTCATCAACCAGTGTGCAAACATGCATGCAAGCAAGTAGCTCTGCGCCAGCTCAAAAACAGGTTCAGTGCGAAATCAAGCCGGAAAAAAAGAGTGAGTGTGAGACACTTTGCAAGAGTTCCATCATCACATCCCATGTAAATCACGAATTCCCATGCATCCCATGCATTCCCATGCATCTTACACCAGGCACCCCAATGCATCACCGCATGCATGACCGCCCACACATGCATGACTCGCCATGCATGACCTCACGCATGACCGCATGCATGTCCCCATACATGACCCCATGCATGTCCCCCAATGCATGTCCAACAATGCATGTCCCCATGCATGCACACACCTCAGCATCGATGACCGCCTCGTCGTCATCTGCATACACCATATTCGTCAGCAGCACCTGTGTGGCACGGAGAGGCACACACGTACATACGTAGGCACACAGAGACACACAGGTGTATGGTGAAATGGGACTTCAAGAATGTCTCAGCATCTATGACCGCCTCGTCGTCATCTGCATATACACCATATTCGTCAACAGAACCTGGTTTGCGTTCAAACGCAATGGGCCAATTCGGAGGGAGAAAGAAACAGGGAACGAAATGCTGAAGATTGAGATGAATTGGAAAAAAAATCTGTATGCTCAGTCCTTGCCAAAAGAGCAAGATTCACTCACCTTCGCTTTACATGCATCAAGCCATCTCCAAAAGAGATGGTGTACACAGAATAGGTGAGTCAGAAACGAGTGAGCAGGGGTGTGGGCGTGTGTGAGGGAATGAGGAACGAGACAGGGAGAGAGAAGCTGCTGCAAACACGTACCGTCACGAGCTGGGGCAGGAACTCCCGCAGCATCTCGGGCGACTGGTTGTTCTCGCAGTAGGCGGACCAGAACCCACACGCCTCACACGCTCTGCCTCACTGTATCCAATCACCAGTCACTCCTCGCACACACACCACATGCCCTCACACCCCATGCTACCACCTACCGTTACAAGCTGGGGCAGGAACTCCCGCAGCATCTCGGGCGACTGGTTGTTCTCGCAGTAGGCGGACCAAAACTCACACGCCTCTAGTGCCACATCGGGATCAGAATCCCGCGTGGATGCGAGCATGTACTCTATCACATTGCGCATGTGCGGCTGGGGTGGGGGAAGGGGGGTTGGGAGGGAGGAAGTGCAGTTAAGAGCGGACCAGAACTCGCATGCCTTCAGAGCCACATCGGGGTCAGAGTCCCGCGTGGATGCGAGCATGTACTCTCACATTGCGCATGTGCGGCTGGGGGGGTGGAGAGGTGGTGGGGGAGGAGGGAGAGGGGAGAGGATGAGAAGTTGAAGGGAAATATGCCTCTGCGTCTCGTGTAGATGTGAGCATGTGCTCTATCACATTGCGCATGTGCGGCTGGGGGTGAGGGGATAAAAAAGGGAGGAGTAGGGGGAGGGTAAGGGCGGGGGGTGGGGGGGGTGGTTGGAATTGGGTTTTGGGTGGTCAAGAGGAGAGTAGGGGAGTAAATGGGTGCGGGCATGTGCATCTGGGGGAGACAGGTCGGGAGGGAGGGGGAAGCGGGGATGGGGGGTGGGGGGTGCTTACTTGGAGTAAGGTGCCTAAGACGGAGGGTGCTTAAGAGGGAGGGTGCTTAAGAGGGAGGGTGCTTAAGAGGGAGGGTGCTTAAGAGGGAAGTTGCTTAGGAGGGAAGGTGCTTAAGAAGGAAGGTGCTTAAGAAGAAGAAAGGAGCTTAAGAGGAAAGGTGCTTACTTGGAGGAAGGAAGGTTGCAACTCAATCAGCTGGACCACAGCTGAGCACACCTGCAGCCACCCACAACCAGCCACAGGGTACACAGATCACAGATATGGAATGGACACACATGGTACGACAAAATGTTCCCGACAGAATCCAATCATCAGCAGTGGATATGGACGCACACAAGTGGCAAGAAAAGGGGGGAGCGCAGACGAGGACGCGCACAGACGATGCCGGTGCTGCGGACCAGTGCCGGTGCTGCGGACCAGTGCAGGTGCTGGTGCCGGGACTCACCAGCCTGCGGACTTCCGGGATTGGGTCGGATCCGAGCGCAAAGAGGCCCTGCAGGTAGCTGTCCATGTTGACTAACAGCACCTGAAGGGGATATAAGGGGTATGGACAAAAGGTAGGAAGGGTGGGGAGGGTGAAAACCCTTCTCCCGTCAGATCCGAGAGCAAAGAGGCCTTGAAGGTAGCTGTCCATGTTCACCAGCAGCACCTGGCAGCGTGGGGATGGGTGGGGGCAGGGGGGGGCACGAAAAAGATCTTGTTTCCGAGGTGCATAAATAAGGCTTGCGTGATGGGGTTGGATCCGAGAGCAACGGGATCTCAGAAACCCACCCTATACACGCAACGCAACACACCCAACCTACCACCACCCACACTGGGCATCTGCAGAATAAACCGGTTCACACTCATAAGGGCCATTTTCCTCAGTGAATCTGAGCATTCCCGGACAGCACCAGCCCTTGACATGTGCTGTGCACCGCCCACCCTTCCCAAAACTCAAGCGCCAACTTTCTCAGGCTGGCGTGCGGCGAGGCGAATTGCTGCAGCAGGCGCGCTACATGCGCATTGCCCTCCCAAAAAGCCACCCCGTACATGTGCAACGAGTGCACTGCCCACCCCCAAACACCACCCACCCTGGGCATGTGCAGGATGAACTGGTTGACGCTCCCCAGAGCCAGCTTTCTCAGGCTGGCGTGTGGCGAGGCGAATTGCTGCAGCAGGCGAGGCAGGAAGACGGTGATGGGGCGCTCTGCCAGGCCGGGGATGTCCCTGTCGAGCTGCAAAGGCATGTCCTCGCTCATCTGAGGGGTGGAGAGGGATGGAGTGGGTTGGAAATGGGTTGGGGGGGAAGTAGGAGGGTTTGAGATGGGGGACAAGGGGAGCAGGCGAGGCAGGAAGACGGTGATGGGGCGTTCCGCCAGGCCGGGGATGTCCCTGTCGAGCTGCAATGGCATGTCCTCGCTCATCTGAGAGGTGCAGAGCGGTGGAGGTGGGTTGGGGGTGGAGATAAGGGAGGCTTGAGGGAACAGGAGGCAGGAAGACGGTGATGGGGCGTTCCGCCAGGCCGGGGATGTCCCTGTCGAGCTGTAGCGGCATGTCCTCTCTCATCTGAGAGGGGTGGAGAGGGATGGAGTGGGTTGGAAACGGGTTTGGGGGGAAAGTAGAGTAGAGGGGTTTGAGGTGGGGGACAAGGGGAGCAGGCCTGGCATGGAGATGGCGATGGGTTCTTCTGCAAGTTCGGGGATGTCCCTGTCAAGCTGCAGCGGAATGTCCTCGCTCATTTAGTAACAAGGGAGTTGGTTGGGGGTAAGAAGGGAGTCGCTCATCTGGTAAGAAGCACACCAGATAATCGACATTGAAAATGGCATCGAGGGGTCATTCCATCCATGTGGCTGAAATCGCTCCAACTCAAGGCAATGCAGCAACACGATTCACTTATAACACCAACGCATAACAGCACATTCGTTGACTGACCTTAAACAGAGCATCCAGGGCCCCTTCTATTTGGCTGAAGTCGTTCGAATCCAAACATTGCAGCATCACTTGCAGCAAATCCGTCCTGGCCCAAACTCTGGACTCGACTCGATACAAGCAGATTCATTAACCGACCTTAAAAAGGGCATCCAGGGCCCCTTCCATGTGGCTGAAATCATTCGAATCCAGACACTGCAGCATCACTTGCAGCAGATCCGTCCACGCGTGCAGCCCACCCTGCTGCTCCACAATACACGATATAACGGTGCCCACTGTAGCGCGTAACTGGTGGTCCGGGAGGCCTATGCACGGCAGCAGAAGCGATTTGATGTAGGCCAGGTACGCAGGGTTCAGGTTCTCGTAGCCGGTTCTCAGGTTGTTTTTCAGGAGAAGACCCGCGCTCTGACGGACCTCCACTGGTTGGTTCTGCAGGGGAGGACGTGGAGAGTGGGGGGGGGGGGGGGGGAGAGGGGAGGGGTGGGTGGGGTTGTGAAAGAGATATTTTTTTCAGAAAAAGATGCAAATAAACGACTAAGCAAAGTACCCTGGAACTACGGCAACGGTCACTAAGAGGGGATGCTTAAGGTGTTACATGCGCGATGATTGGGAGCCATGGGGAGCAAATCACGCCGCAAGGATCGAGCAGCAAAGCGATCGGCGCGTGAGCAATAAGCACAGGCTGAAGCTTAAGACCGAGATCGCGTAATGATCAGTTGATCAATTTGCGTAACGATCAAGCGGGATCGCATAGCAATCAATCGGATCGCGATACAACCGAGCGACATAAGGCTCGGCACCAAGGGTTCAAACGGTCAAACTTGAAATGTATAAACGACTATCCACCTTTGATCGACAACAAACCGCGTATGCTACGTTGACGAATCTCTAAAGCTGCGTCTGCTTCTCCCGGATACTACATTCACCAAAGTTTCGGAAAAAAATGACTAGATTCTTAATGCTCGATTGGCTTCCGTAAGACCGAAGACTTGAGAAAACCTCATGAATTAGGTAACACGCTGGGCCTCTGGGCCTGGAAACTTGAGAGATACTCCAACGAAACATGTAGGGAAAAAAGTAGAGAAATCAAATATACTCGGGTCGCGCCTTGAATCGTACTTCTTGTTTGCTTGCCGTCGTACAATGGACGGCAACTTCGCACTTCCCCCAACACAACAGGGAATGCGATGCAGTCGCTAATACATAAAAACCTATCATCTCCTAATATTGCGGGAATGGCGGTTCCACACCTCTCCCTTGCACAGAAGAAACGCGAGGTAGTTGTTGAAATCGGGAAATTGGCTGCATCGCTGCAGTTCCTGGAAGATTCGCGCCTGATCGACGCCTGGCTTAAGGTACTCGTGCAGCAGCGAGCAGATCTCGTTCGCTCCCTGCTCCGACGGCTGCCATGCTGCCGCTTCCGCCATTACTCAAATGTGATCTAAGGAGCTAAGCTAAAATAGTTAAGCTCGGTTCAGACGAGACGAGGATCAGCAGGAAAACGCGAAATGCCAAAGTGGCCCTAAATTAGGTACTAGCGACGGCCAGCCGTATCCTAAAAGATGTGCGTGCCACCCTTTCACTGTAATAAATCTCTAACTCGCGAACTTGTGTGTTCAATAGTGGTTGGTGCTTCTTGGGAACAGAAGGCTCGAGATGCCTGATCAAAAACACGCTCGGAAGTTCCGAGGAGATAAGAGAACCAAGGTAAATTTGAAAAAAAAGCCATCCATAAAATCGCTAACGTCGTAATAATTTACCGAGTAAGGTAACCTCCTAGCGACCTCTATCTCCGAGCGGGCCCTTTTGTCGAAGCTTTGGCTTCCGAGCGGGGCTCGAGGCAAGGGGATCCATTGGGTCCGTTTCTGTTCGCGTTCACACAGCAGCTGGTTATGGAACCAACCAAAACGGAGTACGCCGACTTACTCTTCCTCAGCTATGCTGACGATACGTATATCCTGGGGCCTAGGGAACGGGTTCTAGCAGCCTATGAGGCCTTGCGGGAACGACTGGACGGGCTGGGTTTGGAGGTGCAGCCGCATAAGTGTAAGCTATGGGAGCGAGGGAGGGACCAGGATGGGGAGGAGAGAAATGAGACTGTCCCGCCCGGCATGCAGCAGACATGGACGGGGCTCACTGTGGTAGGGGTGCCCATTGGGGAGGAGGACTGGGAGGTGGCTAGCCTGCGTCGCCGGCTGACGGAGCTGCATGCACCTGTCCCCTGGCTTCCTCTGCTTGACCACCCACAGATTGCGTCCCATTTGTTGGCGATCGCAGTGTCGGCGCGCCCGATCTACCTCACACGGACGATGCCTCCACGACCTGAGGTTGTGGAGGCTTTTCGGGACTGGGACACGAAGCTGGAAGATTGTTTCGAGGAGCTGTTTCCAGATAGTACCTGGGATCACGATTCGGGGAAGTCCCAGATGGCTCGTTTACAGCTGCACCTTCCTGCCAGACTCGGGGGGTTCGGCATTCGATCTGCGGCTGACCTTAGTCCTCTGTCGTATGCATGTGGCTGGTGCCAAGCAGTGAGCGATGTGGCTCGGTTGGGGGTGGCAGGTGAGGAGCGGATGTTTGAGGAGTGCACGCCCGAGGCTACGACCTTGTTGGACCCCTGGTTTGCGAGAGCAGTGGATCTGCTTCCACAGTCGGTTCGGCAGGAGATGCCACCCCTTGCCTTGTGCACCGCTGATCCGCCTATGCTGCTCTTCCCCACACAACACCGTCGCCTGGCGGTTGAGAGCCTCCAATCTCTTCGAGGCATGGCCCACAACGATGCCACCCTGGCCCGTTTGACATCCCTTCAGGGCCCGGGGGCTGGGGCGTGGGTTTCTGCCGTTCCTTCGCACGAGGAGGCTACCTTCACCGCAGCCGAGTGGAGCATCTGCGCGTCCATGCGCCTAGGCCTCCCTATTCAGCAGCTGATAGTGGCCGGCAAGTGCGCGTGTGGGTTTGAGTTTGCTGATCCCTCTGACCCGCATCATGCCCTTCGCTGCAAGTATCAGTATGCACCTTCTCGGGTTCACGATGCGGTTAAATTTGTGGTGGCGAAGATAGCTAAGGGTGCGGGTGGGATTGTGACCATGGAAGACGACACGTTGCTCCCAGGGAAGAGGGTTGATGTGGCGGTTCGGAAACTGAGGGAGGGGGAGGAGCACGCGCTGGAGGTTAGTGTGGTAGATCCTATCTCGCTATCCGCGCAGCACCATGGACAGATTGGTCGCAAGGTGGGTTTTGCCGCGAGAGAGAGAGAAAAGCGGAAGACGGCGGACTACAAATCGCTTCTACAGCGGCATGGGGGAGTGCAGTTCACACCACTCATTGCTGAGACATGGGGATGCTTGGGGGGGAGTTTTGGACGGTGGCTTAAGAAGCAGGGTGACGCGCAGATCGAGATAGCAAAGACGAAAGGGGCGGCGCGAGCTACGGGAAAGGGTTTCTCGGCTTATTTGCTCGGATCGCTCAAAGCGGCTGTGGGTGTGGCTTTGCAACGGGCTCAGGCGCGTGTGATCTTGTTACGCGCGGCGTCGATGATGAGAGGCCCAGAGGCTGTTTGGGTGGAGCGGGAGGATGTTGAGGAGGAGATGGGATGGGATGCTCCGTGGGCGGATGCACCATACTTGGTAGACATGCGGGTTTAGGGAGTGGGTTTAGGGGGGGAGGTTTGGTTCGATGGGAGTGCAGTTGGGGTGCTTTGATGGGAGGGCTTGATGGTGTTTTAAATGTGTGTGCTATTGGGGTTTTCTTGGGGTTGTGTGTGCTGCTTTTTCTTCCTTCTTCCCTGTTTTTCTTCCTCCTATCATTTTTCCCCTATTCCCCTCCTTCTTTCTTCCTCTCTCTTTTTTTCTACTCACGTTATTCCTCCTTTTCTCCTCTCTTCCCGTTTCCACTCCTTTTCCTTGCGTAATTATGCTACATTGTAATATTTTAAAGTATGCGTGGACATTTTTCACTTAAAAAAAAAAAAAAGAGGCGACGAAATCGTCTTAGGGTTGCGAAGCAACGCTTGTAATATGCGTTAGAGCAACACATGTTTGTATGTGAATCTTGAATTCATATTTTTTTTGTAATAAATCTCTAACTCGCGAACTTGTGTGTTCAATAGTGGTTGGTGCTTCTTGGGAACAGAAGGCTCGAGATGCCTGATCAAAAACACGCTCGGAAGTTCCGAGGAGATAAGAGAACCAAGGTAAATTTGAAAAAAAAAAGCCATCCATAAAATCGCTAACGTCGTAATAATTTACCGAGTAAGGTAACGCGTATGTAGACGGATTACGAGCTTCTCAAAAGTTCTGACGCCTTCCGTCAGTAATTGGACGTGTGTTCTCACATAAGCCCGCGCAAATCTGTAAGGTGTCAGTTGTTTGAGACCGTCCGATTCGAGAGATGGTTTGGGTGCATCACGGGAGTGATGCATGCAATGCAGTGATGGGAAACAGATCTTTGCAGTTCAATTTGACTGCAGCTCAATAAGGAGTTATGCAAGTACAATATGGTTGTTTCAGATTTGTGCACAATGAAAACCTACACTCTATTCATACTACAAGGTTTGCAAACTCTACAGAACATATGCTTACACTAACCTTCAAAGAGGCGAATGAAATAAGAGATGGCAGACAAGAAGATGTGAGGAAGGAAGAAGAAAAATGTGATGAATGCAAATGCAGTGCTGGCCTTGGTTCTAGAACAAAACCTAGAATACGGTGATGGCCCAACACATGGAGCATAGTTGAACAGCACTATTCCTCGGTCATTGAATGTGGTCACAGCTGCAGCAGCAGCTCCCGCGCTAAGAGCAACCAAGGCCATGAGCTGCAGTTGGGAGGCAAATATATTCAACAGAAGTACAAAACATTAGCATGACGAGAGAAGAAGTACATACAGCATGAATGCAACGATCGGAGGATGGAGAAATGTAACTTACAATGTCCATGAGATAGACAAGCGCTCGCCAAATCAGGGACCGGAGCTTGCGACCCATGGCAAGTTGGAGCAGCTCTATCAGCAGCATGAGGAGAGACCAGGCAGCTGTTATGACCATGCCTGCCAGCAGGTAGCGAAATGCCTGGTACCTCTGCAAGAGTGGCACGAGATATGGAGAAAAGGCAACAAGCAGAGTGGCACGCCAAGAAAAATTGCGAGACAATCCCTATCATGTGACTGGCAAAAGAGGCAGATGTTGAAGCGATAAAGCAACAAAAAAAGAAAACAAAAAATTCCACCCATGCGTAATCAAGGCTATAAGATGGATATTTACTCTGAAGTCGAGGTCCAGGTGGCCCGCTTTAAGCAGCACCACAAAGGATATGACCGATGACGCCAGCTGAAGAAATCTGCACAGAAAGTATTAAAAGTAGATTCTGAATCAGCTGTACGCCATGCACTGCTAATGGTACTGATACTACGGCTGCAGAAAACAACAAATATTCGAGGGATAATAAAAGGTGTGGACGTATCAAAACTGATATGATGAGATCAATTTCGTGTCAGGGGGAGGTAAACCTGAATAAAAGCGACACATATTGGTCAGGAGATCTCCCCTTCGTGTCCACCTGTTTAGCACGCGTTCCTGTTTCGCCTGTCGCTGCCGCTTCCCCTGTTGGCGCCGGCCTCTCTCCTTCTGGCATCATCTTTGCAAATTTCTCGAAAATACTACCAAATTGCAAAATTCTGCCAAGGCGGATTTCCCGTCGGTAGAACTCTCTTACGCCTGAATAAGAAGACAAGGTGATTGCTGTTCGTCGGGGGCTGAGGAGCTAAGCGGCGAAGCCACAGAAGACAAGAGGAAGGGGTGTGAGGGCTGCCTGCCTGTGCTCCAAACATCGAGAGACGAAAAGGAAGAGGAAATCAAATGTCCAGAAATGGGGAATTGTTCGCGGCGCAACTGAAAGTTTATAACTGATGCCTGAAAGATCTCATCCAATATACCCTCAAACCTATCCCAACCGATTCTTCCTTCACCAAACCAAACGTCATGCAAGCCTTCTCGTGATGCTCAAACAGCTGGTTCAGGCTGACGTGGAAATGTCTCCATTCGCGAAACCTCTCGCAAGCAGATTGCGAACTACAACGGAGGCCAAACCCAATGACAGCTGCTCGTCTCGTGCGCGAAGCACACGTGTAACGCAGCAAGGCAAGCATCGCGTGCGCTGCCCTTCCCCCTTGCGGGAGTTACGACGAAATGTAAGCCTCCAAATTCGCGCCTCGTTGCTTCAAATGTCGCGCTCCCATTGGGAACATGCTTTTCCCAAACCTGTGCATGGAGCTTCTACCTTCTCCCTTCTCTCCTTCCTTTCTTTCCTCCGGCGTTTCTTTCCGTTTTCACTGGGTACTCAACTCAGCCAGACGGACGTACATCCCTAGATGCCATCATCCTCCGATTACTAGCTTTGTACGCAAGCCTGTTACCCATTGCTTGATTCTCTGTTTGCATCCACTAGCTCGTTAGCTTCTATGACAGCCTGAAACAACGCCACTCCTCCCTCCGCTCTGCAGCCTCTGTTAAATCAGAAAATCTGAGCATTGTTCACCTGCGTCGCCCGTTATTCTTCAAACGCTGTTAACCTGCTTCACCATTAGCTTCCCTGGAATTTGCCTAAACGAGCCTAAAAACTCCTCACACCCCTCGCTCAGAGGCTCACTTTCAGAGCAAGCAGCATGGAGACTCAAGCAGGCCGGCCGGAGCCATCCGGTTTCCGCAGCAAGCGTCCACGGAAAGCCGCCCAGTGGATCAACCCTCTGCTGCGGTTCCTGCAGCTAGCAGCTGCAGTTTCCGCCTTCCCTGTGATGATCCGCGCAGGGGCAGGACTGCTGTGGTTCTCCAACTGGCAGGCCTTCTCGTTCCTTATAGCGGGGACGGTTATAGCGGGGTTCTGGGCACTGCTGATGCTGATTCTGGACTGCTTCCTGGCAGCTTCTGGGAAGCTGCTTCACTCGACAGCTCTGCTCTGGGCAATTGTGATTGGTGACTTTGTAAGCCACCCTGCCGCCATTCTGATTGTCAGTTTCTCTGCTTCAGCATTCCCCTTTGCTAGTGATGCAGTCACTCCTTACAACGCTCACCAAGGAACCCTCTGCTGCACCTGCTGCCGCTGCCGCCATCCCCACCCCACGTTCCAGACCTATGATTGCCTAGACCACCACCATTCTCCCAGACCAACTCCTCCCTGGCCCTGAGACCCAGATGGGAGGTACGGTCGCATAATTCACAGGTTGCACCCCTGACCCCCACTCTCTCCCCCCCCCTCCCCCAACATTCTATCACAGGCCGCTCTCTCCATTGCCCTCAGTGCTGGTGCTGCCACTGCTAATCTCACCACACTCAACGACCAGGGCCTGCCACGACGCCTTTTGAGGCGCCTCAAAAGACCACACTCAACGACCAGGGCCTGCCAGGACGCCCCTTCATCTGCACGGGGTCAACACCTTCTGTGCTCGCACCAAGGCATCCCCCCTCCATGCCATGTCCCCCTCCCCCCTCACAGATCGCTCTCTCTATGGCTCTCTCTGCAGGTGCTGCCACGGCTGCCTTGACCACCCTCAACGATCAGGGTCTGCCAGGACGTCCCTTCATCTGCACGGGGTCAACGCCCTTCAACACCTTCTGTGCCTGCACCAAAGGATTCCTCTTTCTGTGTTTCCACTCCCCAACCCCTCTTCCCTGTCTCCACGCCTGTCCTGCAGATCGCTCTCTCTATGGCTCTCTCTGCCGGTGCTGCCACGGCTGCCTTGACCACCCTCAACGATCAGGGTCTGCCAGGACGTCCCTTCATCTGCACGGGGTCAACGCCCTTCAACACCTTCTGTGCCTGCACCAAAGGATTCCTCTTTCTGTGTTTCCACTCCCCAACCCCTCTTCCCTGTCTCCACACCTGTCCTGCAGATCGCTCTCTCTATGGCTCTCTCTGCCGGTGCTGCCACGGCTGCCTTGACCACCCTCAACGATCAGGGTCTGCCAGGACGTCCCTTCATCTGCACTGGGTCAACTCCCTTCAACACCTTCTGTGCCCGCACCAAGGCTGCTGCAGCCATGGCTCTCATCTCCGCTGCTTTCTTCCTGCCCTCGCTGCTACTTAGTGGTGCTAGACTAGCGTCTGAGTATTACGAAGAGGAGGATTAGACATGTATTATAAGCCGCATGGTTAGTGACAAGTGTTCGCACCAATGCTGCTGCAGCCATGCATCTCTCTGCTGCTTTCTTCCTGGCCATGCTGCAAATTTATGGTGCCATGCTAGCCTCTGAAAAGTGCTTGAAATGCTCTAGAATGTCTTGGCACTAGGCTAGCACCTGAAGACGAAGGGGATGATGAGTCTAGGAAAGTGCATGCTGAGAAACTGTTTCTACACTCGCAAGAAAAAGGAAAAACTGTGAGATGTTAAGCTGTTGGCTGAGTGCTCTTTCTCAACTGCTTGGCGTAATCAGCTGCAGTCACGTCCCTCACCCACCCATCCCATTCCTCCGCTGCAGTGACCTCTCGGCAGGTCCGGCCGAACTCGGACCTCTCGTGCAGGTTCGGATACACGTTTTTGTGCATCTCGCTATAGAGGACATGCCCCCCCCCGCTGTCTGTCTCTCTCACGTCATAGTAGCCCAAGACACCAGCCTGCATGGATTTAGAAGAATAGGGAGTTTTAGAAAGCTGTAAATGGAAGTAATGTTGGAAGCGACACGCTCCCCCGACCTGTCTGTCTCCCTGACATCGTAGTAGCCCAAGACACCAGCCTGAATGGCGGGCGTATCGACGATCTGCTAATTAAATTAGTGCTACAGGGATCACCATTATAAAAGCGGTTACAGGTGCTATAAATGAAATTGGTGGTACTCTCCTCCGTGTAGTAAGTGGATTTTCGAAACGTCTCAACTGGTTGGATTCTCCTCCCTGAAATTCACTTTCTACATTTAGTGATACTCTCCTTCGCCCCCCTCACACACGTTCTCCCTCCGCCTGTACACCAGCCACTCCACCACAAACGGACATGCATCCTTCCCCATCCGCACACCCCACTCTTGCACGCACCTTTCTCGGGTTGGTGAAATGCGATCGCTGCCCGTCCTTCCCAATGCACTTCTCCCTGTCCTTGTCCTCCCCATCCCCCTCACACACGTTCTCCCTCCACCTGTACACCAGCCACTCCACCACAAACGGACATGCATCCTTCCCCATCCGCACACCCCACTCTTGCACGCACCTTTCTCGGGTTGGTGAAATGCGATCGCTGCCCGTCCTTCCCAATGCACTTCTCCCTGTCCTTGTCCTCCCCATCCCCCTCACACACATTCTCCCTCCGCCTGTACACCAGCCACTCCACCACAAACGGACTCTCCTCCCTCCACCCCATCCATTCCTCCGTCGTCACATTCTCCCACACGATCCCCTCGCGGCATTTCTCCGTGCTCCACTCGTGTGCCCCGAACGTGAGCCAAGGCTTGGACGCGTATTGGGAGAGGAAGTAGAGGAGGGTGTGTGGGGGTGTGACGTAGAGGTAACTGTCGGGTGGTAACACGGTAACCCACTGGGATGTGAAATGTGTGCTGTAGAGGCAGTCTAGTGCGCTCAGAGACTGGAGGGGGGGAAGGAGGAGGAGGGGGAAGGGCAGGGGAAGGGCAGGGAGAAGCAACGGAAGTTGGGTGGGGGGGAGTATGGGGGGGGAGAGGGGGAGAGGGAGGAAGAGGGAGAAATGATGTTAGTGACGGGTAGCATACCAGCTGAGATCTGAAATGTGTGCTGACGAGGCACTCAAGGCATTTAGGAAATGGTGCGATGGAAGGGTGAGGGAGGGGAGTGAAGGGAGGACATAGGGTGGGCAAGGAAGGGGGGAGAGAGACAAAGGTGCTGAGGAGGGAAGAGGGAGGGTGAGAGAGTGAGGAGGAGGGTGAATCTGGAGGGGGAGGGTAGAGGAGGTGGAGAAGGGAGGGTACTGTACTCACATGCGCGTCGTACTCGATATTGTAAAAGGACAGTTGCCGTGTGGGGATGACTTTTAGCGAGTCGTTGCGCAGGAAGGTATCGAGGACCGTGGCCAGGCTGAGGAAGCACAGAGGAGAGGGAGAGAGAGTGAATGATGAATAAAATGACACAGATTAGGTTTTTTTTTACACACACACACACACACGCACACACGCACACACGCACGCACGCACGCACGCACGCACGCGCGCGCGCGCGCACACACACACACACACACACACAAAAGCAGTGAATGGTGCCTGTGGGAGTAGCTCACCCATTGCACCGGCGCCGATTCAACTGTCCTGCTACGGCATTGTCTACCTATCAGGTACGTAAGCAAGCAGACCCCTTCCCCTCACCTCTCGTCCAGTGCTCCCCTGTTGTAGAGGCAGAACTGGGTGGCTCCCAGGTGCCAGTGGCAGCTCACCCACTCGTGCCTGATCCTCACTTCCACCCTTCATCCTGGGAGCATGCTAGTGACCTGACCACTCACTAACCTCTCATCCATTGCCCCGGCGTCATAGAGGCGGAATTGGGTGGCTCCCAGGTGCCAGTGGTAGCTCACCCACTCGTGCACAAGCCTCGCTTCCACCTCCCGCCCCATGCGCACGGCGCACATCGTCAGCACATGCGGCAGGTGGTCAAAGTCGGGCGGCACAATGGCATGCTGCAGGGCAGAGCTCTCTCTGAGAGGGATTGAGGGGGTTTCAAGGACGGGAAAGATGGGGGGGGGGGGGGGGGGGGGGGGGGGGAGTGGATACAGATGGGACAAGGCGGTCAAAGGCGGGCGGCACGATGGCATGTTGCAGGGCAGAACTCTATCTGAGGCATGAGGCAGGGTGGGAGCGGGGAGGGGGAGGGGAAGGGGGGGGGGGAGGTATGCGCACAGTGCACAGGGGGGGCAGGTGGTCAAAGTCGGGCGGCACGATGGCATGTTGCAGGGCAGAGCTTTCCCTGAGGCATGAGGCAGGGGGGGAGCGGGGAGGGAGAAGGGAGGGGGGGCGAAGAGGGAGAGGGGGTGGGAGTCGGAGGTATGCTCATAGCACACAAGGGGAGAAGGCGGTCAAAGTGGGGTGGCTGGACGGGTGGCTGGACGGGGACATGAATGAAAGAGGTGGGATGGGGGCATGGGAAGAAGGGAGAGACGTGGATATGCACAGAGGAGGTGGTTTCAAGGGAACAACACTGGGAGATGAAAAAACACCAAAAGACCAGAAACAGAAGAAGCACCTGAAAGCAACAGAAAACACCTGAGAGCAGCAGAAGAGTCACCTGAGAGCAGCAGAAGAGTCACCTCAGAGCAGCATAAGAGTCACCTGAGAGCAGCAGAAGGGTCACCTGAGAGCGAGGAAGGGCTCGCTGGCAATATTGAGAAAGAGGTCGCCACCAGCATCACCCGTTGACTGGTCCAACTCGCACTGGGATGGGATGGGGGAAGAGGGAGGGATGGGAAAAGCAGGCGTGATGTGGTTGAATGGAAGGGCTCGCTGGCAATATTGAGAAAGAGGTCTCCCCAGCATCCCCTGTTGACTGGTCCAACTCGCACTGAGATGGGATGGGGGAAGAGGGAGGGATGGGAAAAGCAGGCGTGATGTGGTCTTATGAAAGGGCTCGCTGGCAATATTGAGAAAGAGGTCCCCCCAGCATCCCCTGTTGACTGGTCCAACTCGCACTGAGATGGACAAGTACAGAGAAGGGGGGAAGGAACAAGGATGGAAGGGGGTTAAGAACAAGGAAGGAAGGGGTGTAAGACAAGAAGGGGCGCAGGGATGGATACGAACCACCAGACACACACTAGGATGGCTTGGCATGCTGCTCTGATGGCTTGGCATGTTGCTGTGATGGCTTGGCATGTTGCTGTGATGGCTTGGCATGCTGCTGTGACCCTCAACAGCACTGTACCTCACCAGGAAAAAGGCATTCCTCTCCCCGCCCATTCCCCTGCTAACATCACATCTGCTCATGGATGGCTCAGATATACCGCTGCTGTGATCCTCAACAGCACAGCACTGTACCTCATTACTAGAAAGGCATTCCATTCCCTGCCCATTTCCCTGCTAACATCACGTCTGCTCATGGATGGCTCAGCAATACCGCTGCTGTGATCGTCAGCACTGTACCTCACGAGGAGATGAGGGAGGCCCATCAGCGATCAAGTGTGACCCATCATTGCCACCACACCACACCACACCACACCACACCACACCACACCACACCACACCACACCACACCACACCATACCCTGCCATATCTGAGACTCTACACTTTCCACCTTCCAACAACCCATTTGATGAGATTCCTTCTATATTCCCTCCGGCCCCTTGGCTTTCTTAATATCCCCTTTATAAAGTCAAACTCACTCGCATGACAATCGCATCGTAGTCACTCTCTTCCCGCAGATTGGTGTAGATAATTGTGGGTTCCGCCTTCAGCTCTAGCCCGTTGCTTCCCTGCCATATGCATCTAACAGCGCCCCTGGTGTCACATCACATCACAGCATGCACGCAGGGAAGATTTGCCAAAACAACAGGAATGAAAACAAGCATACGCATGAATCAAAGGCAGCCCAAAGCCCATGGCAACAAATAAGAGCGAATCTTGAGATAAGCGTACGCCTACCAGATTACCAGCTGGCTGGTAATGCATCACTCACATGTGTTTCTTGATAAAATGCGCGCTTAAACTCACAGCTATGAGAACGTGACAATTTTTAACTTATGTATTCTATTTTCTTCAAAGAAAGTGGTAGTGCATGACACAAGTGGTCCTTGACAAAATGCGCCCCAAAGCCCACGACAGCGGGAGTACAAGAAAGCCTAAAAAATCAAGCTTAATCTGCATGCGGCATGCATCAATCACAGAACCGCATCACTCACAGGTGGTCCTTGAGATAATGCGCTCCAAAGCACACAACAGCGAACGAGCGCGAAGTGATGCTTTTGAAGTGCTTACCGAAACCACGCCTACTAGCTGGCTGGTGATGTGTGCATCACTCACAGATGGTCCTTGAGATAATGCGCTCCAAAGCCCACGACAGCGAACGAGCGCGAGGCAAGGCGGTAGGCTTGTTTTGAGACGTCTCAAAATAACTTCTTACCCAAACCACATGCATCACTCACAGATGGTCCTTGAGATAATGTGCTCCAAAGCCCACGACAGCGAACGAGCGCGAGGCAAGGCGGTAGGCTTGTTTTGAGACGTCTCAAAATAACTTCTTACCCAAACCACATGCATCACTCACAGATGGTCCTTGAGATAATGCGCTCCAAAGCCCACGACAGCGAACGAGCGCGAGGCAAGGCGGTAGGCTTGTTTTGAGACGTCTCAAAATAACTTCTTACCCAAACCACATGCATCACTCACAGATGGTCCTTGAGATAATGCGCTCCAAAGCCCACGACAGCGAACGAGCGCGAGGCAAGGCAGTAGGCTTGTTTTGAGACGTCTCAAAATAACTTCTTACCCAAACCACATGCATCACTCACAGATGGTCCTTGAGATAATGCGCTCCAAAGCCCACGACAGCGAACGAGCGCGAGGAGAGGCGGTAGGCTTGTTTTGAGACGTCTCAAAATAACTTCTTACCCAAACCACATGCATCACTCACAGATGGTTCTTGAGATAATGCGCTCCAAAGCCCACGACAGCGAACGAGCGCGAGGCAAGGCGGTAGGCTTGTTTTGAGACGTCTCAAAATAACTTCTTACCCAAACCACATGCATCACTCACAGATGGTCCTTGAGATAATGCGCTCCAAAGCCCACGACAGCGAACGAGCGCGAGGAGAGGCGGTAGGCGGAGAACTGGATGAAGCCGTGGGGGCCGCGGGGGAGAGGATGGAAGGGGATGGAGGGCAGACCCACGTGCTGCTGTAGCGGCTGTAGCTGCTGCAGGTACGAGCGGTACCCCTGCCATGATAGGTTGAAGGGGACTGGGGTGGGAACGCGGAGGGAGGGGGAGAGAGAGGTGGTATGCACTGAACTGAACCAAATGAGACCGCAGGGGAGTGGGTGGAAGGGGACGGAGGGCAGGCCCTCGTGCTGCTGCAGCGGCTGCACCTGCTGCAGGTACATGCGGTATCCCTGCCAGGATAGGTTGAAGGGGACTGGGGTGAGGCAGGGACGCAGAGAGATGGGGGGATGGGAAGAGGAAGGGGATGGAGGGGAGGCACAGGTGCTGCTCTAGTGGCTGCTGCTGCAGGTAGGTGCGATACCCCTGCCAGGATAGGTGGAAGGGGACTGGGGTGGGGACGCGGAGGGAGTGTGGGGGACGAAAGGGGGGAAGAGGGAGAAAGGAGAGGGAGGACGAAGCAGGGAGAGGGAGAAGGCAAGGAAGGAGCTGTATCACTTGTGCGCCCCAGTGTGTAGACGCTGCCTGCCAGGGGCTGCATCAGGCAGTCTTGAGGCGCGAGCGAGAGGGTAACCACCACCGTAGTCTATTCTTGGAGAAGCTTCCTACGTGGTCATCCTCCTACTTCTTCCTCGCCTCCAATGCCCTGCCTGCCAGGGGCTGCAGTGGGCACGAGCGCGAGCGAGAGGGTAACCACCACCATGATCTATCCTTGGAGAAGCTTCCAACCTAGCCATCCTACTTCCTCCTCACCTCCAATGCCCTGCACGGACATATAACTGCCAGGGGCTGCAGCAGGCACGAGCGCGAGCGAGATGATAACCGCCAGCAGAATCGCAGCCCCAGAAATTACTGCTGCAAGGGCTGCGGTTGTCCAGAAGCGTTCCTTTATGGGGGCCAGCAGGGCCTGTGCGTTCCTGAGAAGATGGTGGAAGGCAGGAGTTCAGGCCGAACAAGGAGGAACCATTGAGCTTCTCGAAAAAGAAATTAGACGTGGATGAAAGGAGGTTCTGCAAGCTTTTATGGTGTCAGGCAGACAGCATGGATGAACTGTCTGTCCTCGCATGACGCACTGTGCTCGGAATTAATCAATAAATCACTAGTACGTGATGAGAATAAATTTTTGAGTCGGCTAACAAATTTAAGAGCTTTTATGGTGTCAGGCAGACAGCATGGATGAACTGTCTGTCCTGGCATGATGCATTGTGCTCTCTGAGTCAACCCACAAATCACAAATACCCCAACCCACCGTTCCTGATCAGTCTTCTATGTAGCTGACAAGTCTTACCATGCCTGATCTCGGTACCGCGCCTTACCTTGGCAGCAGTCCCTTGTCCCGATTCCTCGACACGGAAGGAGCACCTTTGCTGACAGTGGGAGCGCCTTCACTGACTGAAAAGGCTCCTTTGTTAAGCGAGCGATCGTCTTTGCTGTCGCTGGGTCTGATAAGCGGGTGAGCTGGGTCATCACTGTGCGACTGGCGATCGCTCGCGCTCTCCGTTTGCCCAACTTCAGGATCGTCGCCGCTTGCACGTGAGACTTCGGAAATGCCTTCGCTATAGTCACTCCTGGGGTGTGATAGAAGCGCGCGACGATCCTCCTGGAGAGACACCCCCGCTGATTGCGGAGCTCGTGAGCTTTCCGCAGCGCGCTGTAAGGCAAAGGCGGCATTTGCTTGAGTGCCCTGAACTGCTGACGGGGATTCCGGCGGAGTAACGAACCGTTGCGCTTCCTTGAAGCCGGCTGGACCATGCTCAGTAGCGTCCGCATTTCCCGGCGATTTCGCCGCTGATAAGTCATCAGGAGGTGATCGGCTATTCGCTTCTGAAGACTCAGCCGTTCTGCGCGGTAAGGAATCTGAACTCATGGTTCCGACAACGGGTCTTATTTAACGGACTATGACCCGATGTTTAAACGTGAAATGGCAGACACGTCTAATCGGTTGGCATAGAACTGCCAGCTTACTGCCGGTGCAGGGAAAGATGCAGGTCCGACGAGGAATGAAGCCGGAAGGTATGATGGCCACTCGGAGCGATTCGAGGCTCAAAAAGGGCAGAGAATGCCAGGAACTAAGGACGCGTCAACTCCCAGCACTTTGGGCACATCGATCCTCCGTAGGATCGATGTGCCATATATACAGTACATTCACGAGCTAGCGAAGTGTCTTGTTGCCAGTTTTCGTCAGGCTTCGCAATTGCACAGTAAACCGGCCAACACTCCCCGTGTCCCCTCCGGATCTCGGGACACCTTGCCACCTGCCACACACCGATCGTGGCATTTCGGTGAGAGGGAGCTACAATCGCGCGCTAGTTGACAGCCGCGATCGTTCGGCGTCGCACTTGGTAACACACACTTTGCGAAGCACACACACAGTTGGAAACACACTTTGCGACGCACTGCGAAGGCGGATTTGCAGCATGCGACAGGCCAACCCAGCACCCCCCGATCCTGCAAATACCCTAGTCAAGTGTGGCTCGATGGTAGGGGTACACTGCCGATTTGCAGGTGGAGCACACCGGTGTGCACATCGATTCTGCCAAGATCGGTGTGCACTGCCGATCTTGCCTCGATCCTGACTCATTGCTGGGTGTTGACGCGTCCTAAATACAGAAGCTGGGCAAGGATGCGTCTGGGAGGAACTGAACGGAAAGGCGGAGCTTCGGTCCTAGGGGGGTTGGGACTGGCAGGCAATTCCAAGAATATATTATTCGCTCACCTGGAATTTAGACAACTAAGGGAATGTTCACTTGCAACAGTGTGTAGGATGTTCTGTGGATGTACGGACATGGATGGGGATATGTACACTGCCGTAACTCACTTTCCTATGCTTGATTCATATATGTCAAGTAGTGGTTTAAAATTGCATTCTTGCACCTATTATCATCATTCAATCTGATTTTAGTCTTACAATTGATTTTCTTTGCCACATAGTGTGTCCTCACTGGTGGATCATGTACTTGGAGATTCCATTACAAGAAAATATATCTCTCGCACAATATATTTTCATTAATAACCGTGACATTGGTTTACCTTAAACACCATTTATACTTATGGCAATATGAGCCCTACCTGTTATGTTAAAGGATGCGGATCCATGTAAATATAGTCTCAATGACATACTCCATACGCGTCAAAGAGTTACATCACTAACTTCGAGCCGCCAGCACACACTTGACCCCAGTTCCCGCCAGCACGAATTTCACCGCACCGCAACGGACTCTCAAGTTCGACATTTCCTTAACGAGCACCGTATCAGACCATTCAGAGCCGCAACTTAAACCTTCTGACCGCAGCATGGCAAATTCCAAGGTTCGACTCTACGGCGCGACTCGTCCTGTCCTTGTCCCTCCTGACTCCCAAATCCCAATGCCCGCCGCTTCCGCTCGTTACTTCTCGCCGCTTTACGGCGGAATACGCGGTAATGGGTGCTCTGCTGCTGACGGTGCGGCTGGGTGACCCCACCCCACAAGCAGCGTGTTTTAGATCAGTCTTTCGAGCCCCACTTGAAAGCGGAACCATTCCTCGTTGTTGCATTATTCCTTGAGTTGATTTTCCGTTTCCACGTTCCAGGATACACACATCGCCACTCCAGAGCTTCCAGATAGAACTTCGGGTTTCTTTCCGACTTGGACTGCTTAGGCTAGTATAGATTAAGCTCTTTACCATGGCAAGAAGGTCCACGTTTGCTGTTTTATCCGTAGTGTTCGCTCTGTGCTTGGTGGCTATGGCATCTGCTGCCGGCACACCGGCTACAACGACGCCTGCGCCGAAAACAACAACTCCTTCGCCGAAAACAACGACGGCTCCTGCAGTAAAACCACATGTGAAGAAGCCAGGAAAGCAACAGCGGGCTAAGATCAACCAGGGCGTGTTCAACACGTGGGATAGCGGCTACATCGCAACAATTTCACCCTCTGAAGGCGGTCTTGCTCAAGGCGCGTGCGGATACGGCAACACGCTGAACACTGGTATCGGATCTGCTACTAGCGCGGTGTCCTCCATTCTGTACGAGGACGGCCAGACCTGCGGCGCGTGCGTGGCGATCAAGTGCGTGAAGAACCCGAGGTGCAACGGGAATGCCGCCACCGTTACAGTCACCAACCACTGCAAGGGCAACAAAACTCACGGCGGCCTGTGCCAGCTTCCCAAGAAATCCATCATGCTCCCTCCCAGCGTTTACGACCAGATTGTTACCACGCGAAACGCTGGCGACGTCGCCGTGCGAGTTTCGCGCGTGCCTTGCCCTCGCAAGGGGGGGATGCAGATCAAGGTGCTTATGGGTAACGACTGGTTTATCAATCTTCTCCCTCTCAACGTCGCGGGACCAGGAACTATTTCCAAGATCGAAGCGCAACTGGTCGGTAGCGGCGGGTTCAAGCCGCTTGTCAGGAACTTCGGAACCACGTGGTCGCTGAACGGGATCAAGGTTGGCGGGCAATCGATGACGCTGCGCGTGACGACGAACTTCAACGGGAAGGTTATTGTTCTCAAGAACGTCATTCCGGCTTCGTGGCAGGTCAACCAGACGTACACCGGAGACGCGAACTTCCCTGATAGCTAAGTCATGATGACACTTAGTTATTCTTAGTAGTACTTAGCGCTAAGTTGAAGTAGTGAGAATGTAATCATCAGCAGTAGATCGGTCGGCTTAGGATCTTGCTAATCAGGCCTGCCGCTTTGTCGGGCAGTATCAGGACGTCATTCATTGTCAATATTCTGGTACCTCTGGCTTTTTGTAGCCCATTCAATAAAGTTTCTACTAGTAGAGAGATTACCAGATTCAGCTCAGTCCACTGTCAGCGTTTATTACTAGTATCTGCTGGTTAGTTACCAAATTTTTATTGCAGAGAAAGGCTGTCCTCTTTTCCACTTTTATTCATGAGATCTTGCAGGTAAGATTGACAGAAATACTGCATGGTGTACGAATCCTGCAGGAACTAGAGAGCACAGCTGTTTTCTGATCCGCCTGGCAATTTTCCAGCAGTCAATAAAATTCTGGAGCATCAAATAATGAACAAACAAAATAATACAGAGAGCAGTGTAGGTACAAGAGCAAGCATGTTGTAACACTGATCAAGTGCATGCAGCTCTCTACAGCTTGGACATGCGGGTAGAGCGAGGAATGAGGCCGACCCGAAGCCCAGGGTAGTCAATTATAAGGTCAAACTTGGAGAGTAAGTTACGGCATATCAACCCGCTAGTGTACTGCGACAACTCCAAGGCTCCCTGCTCTGCTGTGGAGAACAGCGCTGACACGTTCTTGAGCTGCTGCCCTGCTACTGTCACCACTGCTAAGTTGCCTTGCCGTACCTGCATGGGGGGGAAGAGCAGCAGGGAAAAGGAGTGAGGGGGCAATTGTGCTGCTTGTGTAACACTTCATGTAACCCTGTCACAAGCTAGGCTTGTGAGATTGGCACAGGCATACACACACTCCTGCACACTCACCCATGCAAGTACTCCCACACACAGTCACAAACTTTCCCACAAACTCTCCCACACACCCAACCCAACCACGTACTCACCGACACTCACCCACGCACTCACCCACACGCTCACCTACACAAATTTCCGCCCACTCAACCATGCACTCACCCACACACTGACACCATCAGCGCATTCACCGTCATCTGATATCCCCCTACCCCCCCCTCCCCCTCCCCCTGCGCCGCCCATGCTTTTGAGCCAGCTGTCCCCCCCTTTAGCCCTCCTCCCCAGCTGACACCGCTCCACTGCCCGCGCGTTGAATATTATGTCTACCCCTGCTGCTCCGACGTGTTAAGGGTATGGCCACACACACTCACCGTCATTTGCTGTCCTCCTCCCCCTCCCCCTGCTCCGCCCATGCCTTTGAGCCAGCTGTCTCCCCCTTTAGCCCTCCTCCCCAGCTGGCACCGCTCCACTGCCCGCGCGTTGAAGATTATGTCCACCCCTGCTGCTCCCGTGTCGAGAAGGAAGAGGCCCGAGAGGGGCGGCGAGTCCCAGTGCTCTTGGAAGGAGATGGCGATGTGAGGCACGCTTCCCAGCATGCGCAGCGGCTGGGAGGGGTACACAGGGGTAGAAAGGAGATGGCGATGTGAGGCATGAAAAGGGCCCAGCATGAAAAGGGGCTGATGGGGGTGGGAGGAACGGGGTAGATATTTTCCCCAAGATCACCAAACCTTCACCAGTAGCCACCTACCTCCCAGAAGCCACCTCCCTCCCAGTAGATATTTTGTCCAAGATCAGGCACGGAGGGGTGACCTCCAACCAGAGCAGCAGACACCACCGCCACCCCTCCCCGTCACCGAGCTCGATACCCACCGAGAAACCCCACACCAACAGCCACCCACCTCCCAATAGATGTTTTCCCCAAGATCAGGCACAGAGGGGTGACCTCCAACCAGAGCAGCAGACACCACCGCCGCCCCTCCCCCTGCCCTTCCCCCTGCCCCTCCTCCCCCTCTCGCCCCTCCTCCTCTTCCCCGTCTTTGTGCCGTGGCAACCCCAGGTGGCACAGGAGCAGGTGCTGCGGATTGCACCACCCCTGTTTCAGAACTCTCTGCTTCCTCTGTGGAACCAGATTCCTCTGTGTCATCCTCTCTGCGGCTGCCGGCTCTTGCACTGCTGCTGGCTCTTGCACTGGTGCTTGTTTCGAATGGAACGGGGGATTCTTGAGGTTTGTACAGCCGGAGAGTTCCCTTCCTGCCGCGTGCCTGTGCGGATGTGGCGAATGGTGGGAGGAGAAGAGGAAGAAAGGCCAAGCTTGTTAGAAGAAAGAAGAAGGGGAAAAGAAGGAAAAACTCTTTGAAAGCATTAGAAAAGAAACCAATAAGGATTTTCTTCGGAGAAACTCTTTTCGGTTTCCTCAAAAAGCATAAGAGTCCCCTTTGAGAAAACCCTTCTTTCGAAAACCGAAAAGAGAAAACCTCAAAGCTTCGTGGGGTTTGTATGGTCGGAAAGTCCCCTTCTTTCGAAGTTGTTATCAGCCTCACCTACCCACGCCCCTTGCATGCCCCTCTCGGGCCCCTCACTTGCATGACAAAATGTCTCTCACACGACGGGCACATGCACGACGGGCCCCTGTCGAAATACGTCATAGCCACCTCACATGTCCATGCCTCTCACATACCCCCCATCTGCCTCTCACCTGCACATGCACGACGGCATGTCGAAATACGTCATAGCCGCATATCCCCACCACTGGTTTCACTCCCTGCACCAACGCTGCTCCCCCCACCTGGTGTGAAGAGCGGTGAGAATGGGGTGTGGAGAGTGAGATGGGGTGTGGAGAGGTGAGAATGGTTTGGCAAGAATAGGGTGTGGGGTGGTGCTAACGTGGAACAAGGAGACCGTGACCTTGGAAAAAAGTAAAACTTAACACAAGATGGTGCGAGGTGACTCAAAAGTCACCAAGACCACGGCCTTGAAAAGGATAAAAGTTAACACGAGATCGTGCGTGTGTGGGGCCATGCGAGTGCGTTGGCCCATGCGAGTGCGTTGGCCCATGCGAGTGCGTTGGCCCATGCGAGTGCGTTGGCCCATGCGAGTGCGTTGGCCCATGCGAGTGCGTTGGCCCATGCGAGTGCGTTGGCCCATGCGAGTGCGTTGGCCCATGCGAGTGTGTAAGGCCATGAGAGTGTGTGTCACGAATGGGTGACGGGGATACAGCAAGGTGGAGAGAGAAATAGCGAGCAGGTGTCACAAAGGAGGGAGCAGGTGTCCCCGGGAGGGAGCAGGTCTCACATCAACAAAGAGAGCGTTGGCGATTGACAGAGGTCCTAGCTGCACCGAGTCTCCGCGTCTGAACGCGCACTCTGCCGGCCCGTGCACTGTCACTGTGTGCACGCATCCAAAGCTGGATAGGCCTAGCCCGTCCGCGACAGACGGTTCAATGGTGAAGCAGCTTGCGCCTGAATCCAGAATGAAGTAGCTGCAGGGAGGGTGGGGTGTGTGGGGCGGGTGGGTGGGGTGGGGCGGGTGATAGCCCTAGCCTATCCGCTACTGCTGGCTCGATGGTGAAACAGCTTGCACCTGAATCCAGAATGAAGTACCTGGTTGGTGGGGCGGGTAGGGCGGTGAGAAGGGAAGGGGTTCTGAGATGAATATTTTGCTGGCCTGTGCACTGTCACGGTGTGCACACACCCAAAGCTGGATAGCCCTAGCCCGTCCGCCACTGCTGGCTCGATGGTGAAGCAGCTGGCTCCTGAATCCAAAATGAAGTAGCTGCAGGCAGGGAGGGGCGTGTGGGGCGGGTGGGTGGGGTGGGGCGGGTGATAGCCCTAGCCCGTCCGCCACTGCTGGCTCGATGGTGAAGCAGCTTGCACCTGAATCCAGAATGAAGTACCTGGTTGGTGGGGCGTGTGGTACGAAAAAGGGAAGGAGATGTGACAGAATGGGGGTGGTGAGTGGTTGGCCCGTGCACTGTCACCGTGTGCACGCACCCAAAGCTGGACAGCCCTAGCCCGTCCGCGACAGAAGGCTCGATGGTGAAGCAGCTGGCTCCTGAATCCAAAATGAAGTAGCTGCAGGCAGGGTGGGGCGTGGGGGATGGGTGTGGGTGGTTGGGGTGGTTCAACTTAGCCCGTCCGCTACTGCTGGCTCGATGGTGAAACAGCTGGCTCCTGAATCCAGAATGAAGTACCTGCTTGGTGGGGTGGGTGGGATGGGAGGGGGTGGTTGAGGTGGTTTAACTTAGCCGCTACATGGTGAAACAGCTGGCACCCGAGTCCAGAATGAAGCACCTGCATGAGGGGCGGGGTGTGTGGTGGTGAAGAGAAAGGAAGAGAAACGCACCCAGAGAGAGGGTGAGTGAGTGGCCCGTGCACTGTCAACGTGTGTGCACACACCCAAGACTAGTCCAACCTAGTTGGTCCACTACACTACAGAAGAATCAACCTGGTGAAGCAACTTGCACCTGCTCACTCACCCCGCATCCTGACCGTTGATCCGTGGTGGCACCAGCAGATGCCCGCTGATCAATCACCCCATATTATGAACCGTTGGTTCGTGGGCCCTCTTCACTCACCCCACATCCTGGCCGTTGATCCGTGGTCGCACCAGCAGATGCCCGCTGATCACTCACTTCCATCCTGACCGTTGATCTAACACTCATACCACATCCTGACCGTTGATCCGTGGCCGCACCAGTAGATGCCCGCTGTTGGACTGGATCATGCAATGCACATCTAACCGTTCATCGTCACTCACCCCACATCCTGGCCGTTGATCCGTGGTCGCACCAGCAGATGCCCGCTGTTGGACTGAAACAGCTCCACCTCTGCAGGCGCACTCTCATCAAAGGAAGCTTCTGGGAAGCAGCTCAGCGGGCTCGGGACGGTTTGGGACCGCGGCATGTCGTATGAAAACGAGAAGGGCGAAGGTTCCTCAGAAGCTTCCTTGGATTCGGAAGCTTCCTTGGATTCAGAATCGGAAGCTTCCTTCTCTTGCAGCAGGATATGGGCTGGGCCGGACGGCAGCAAGGGTGTTCGGGCAGCTGTAAAAGATTGCTGCGCGCCTGCTGACGTTGACCGGTGCACTGTAGTGGGCAGCAGGAACGGGCAGTTGTGCTGAGGAAGGAGGAGGGAGGAAGTGGGGAGAAGGAAACAGGAGGGAGGAAAAGGGTAGGTGGGAGCGTCAGTGCCATATCAGCTGTAGATGGAAGTGTCATTTAGTGCTACAGTTTCAACGCTACAGCCATTCCGCTACAGCCACACCGCTACAGCTACACCGCTAAAATCCCACAGCTAAAGCCTTGTTACAGCCGTACCGCTACAGGCGCCCATTGGGTGAAGGTGAATGTCTCTAACGCCCCATAAGCCTTTACCACTGCCACTCTTGGCAGCCAATCAGAGCGATGCACCGCCACATACATGATGACCTGGAGGGGAGTCATGAAGAAAGGGATGATGCATGACCGTGCATGAAGGGTTGGGAAGCGGGCAGAGGAAAGGAAAGAGACGAAAGACCCATGTGCGGGTGGGGATGTGGATGGAGTTGGGAAGGGGTGTGGAAAAGTTCAGGCGCCTCAGAGAACGACACATGGCCAGAACGCACCTCTCGGCCAATCAGGTTGATCGCCAAGATCTCCCTATCATCAGCTGCCACGTGTGCATCAATCTCCATCCGCATGCCATTCGGAATGCCAACAGCCGATCCTCCTTCCCCTATCTCCCCTTCGCCGCCCACTGCTCTTATTTCAAGTGCTGAGCCTTCGTCCAATCCTGCTCTCCCCTCACCCTTCTCCTCTCCTATCTCCTCCTCGCCGCCCACTGCTCTTATTTTAAGTGCTGAGCTGGCGACGCGCGGCAGCAGCCAAAGAGACGAGCGCAGCCACACGGATAGCAGATACACCTCGTGGTCGTCCAGATCCAACGAAGATACCCGCCCGGCAGTGTCCACGTCCCACACCGTAGATTGGACTGACTTTTGAGTCGACTCAAAAGTCAGATCCAACGAAGATACCCGCCCGGCAGTATCCACGTCCCACACCGTAGATTGGATCTCCGGGCGGCAAACTGGATCTTCAAATTTGTCATCATCTAATAAGCTATCAGATGTAGCGTCTGAGAACCTATCCGATGAGCTATCTGATGAGCTGCCAGATATGATATCGGTTGTGCTACTTGACAAAACACTAGATTTGGTATCAGATTCGCTGGCGTCTGATTGGCCGGCGAATCCCGACACGCTCCAGATGTGCCGCCCGACAAACGACTCCACGAATCGGCCGCCAGCTGGCGACACGAGGAGCTGCCACGTGCCCTCCATGCCCATCAGCGACTGCACACCTGGCGGCACGGGATTGGTCAGTTGGAGCAGGGAGCGGGTTGAGGTGAGGGATGAGTAAACGAAGAGCAGTGATCGGAACTTCATGACGGGTCATGTCAACTGCTGCATCAGAATGTCTCTTGAGACACCTCAGAATGCTTACCTGTCACATGCACGTGTGCATCCGCTGCCAGGCTCTCTATCCGCACTGCCCTCCTCATTCGCTCCAATACCCCCTCCACCCCTACACACTCACTCCCTTCTTCAACCTCTCCTCCTCTACTCTCTCTCTCAACCGCTCCCTTCACCCCTGCTGCTGCTGCTGCTGCTGGCCACCCTTCCCCTGCTCCTTCTCCCCCTGCTGCTGCTGAGTCAGCACGTCTTGTTCCACGATTGGCTCGCCCAGATTTGATACGTCACTGTACAGATTCGACCCGTCTCCAGCCAATGAGACAGCAGTTGCTGCTGCTGCTGCCACTGTGCTTCCCCTAGCTCTCACCCAGCCTGCTGGTTCCCTTTCCGAACCTGCATTGCCCTGTGCCAAACCTAGTGCCGAGCCTGTCTCTCCCATACCTAACCCCCAACCTCCGCCAATGGACACGGTCACGACAGCCGGCATTCTTTTTCTTCTGCCCGGAGATGCTAACGGGCGGCTGCCCGCGCGGAGAACGACAACCGCGCGCGGACGGGCGGCGGAAGCGGCGGAGTTTCGACCGCGCGCAGAGGAATTCCGCGCGGGAAAGCGGGCGCAACAGGAGAGAAGGAAAAGGTTCGGGCTTCCGCCATTCCCGCCGAAGCTGCGGCTGGTATATTCTGATTTGCGCGGAGCTGCTGACGTGTCTGGGTGTTTTAATGCACTGACGTGGCATGAACTGATTGGCTGCTGCAGTGCCCACTGGGCCCGGACCGCGAGGCCCATCGGAACGGAAGTTTCGAGGAACGAACGCGATGGGCGGCGGTGATGCGCGGAATGGAGGACGGCGAAGCGGAGAGCGAGCGGATAGCGCGCGCGGATGGCGCGCGGAGAGTGCGCGGAGTTACAGGCAGTGGCAGACTGTGCGTAGGGTGTGGCGGAGCAGCGCAGTGTGGGCAGTGATGGCTGGCGATGGCTGGCGATGGCTGGCGATGGCTGGTCGGATTGACGCTTGGAGACTTCTCAAATCTCGACTTGATTCTTCGATTGTCTCCCCTTATCCGCGGACAAATAAGCCCGTGGGGGAAGGGTCCGCGGGAAAAAAAGGGGGAATGGAGCGAGGGCTGGCGGGAGCGGAGAAATCTAGGGGAGGTGTGGTGAAGTTGGGAATTTCGCGACGTGGACCGCGCGAAAAGTTCGAGGTGGCGTCAGCGAGACGAAGATGGATTTCGCGAAAGCTGATCAGTACGTAATGTTTCGCAAATCGTTCAACCCCCAATCTCAGCCCTCATCGCGCGACCTCAAATTAGCGCCCACGCAATACACCAAACGCCTTCACCTGACAACCATCTCGTGCCTTTCTCGTCCTTTCGTATTTCTTCGTTCTCCACATTTCATTCTTTCATCATCAGGCATGGGTTCTAACCAATGGCAGAGGAAACACTGATCTCGAAATTGAGCTCGCTGACAGAATACTCTGCCCGACAATTGAGGCGCCTCAAAGGATCGTCACGTTAGAACCGAATATGGAATCTCTTCTTATCGAAATCGAATCGCTCGCCCCTCGCTTCGCTAGAGGTGACGTAGATTCGTTAGACCCACTCGCCGAAGCGCTTTCTAATCTCCTCGCTCGATCGCGCGAGCGCGATTGGCTTACAGAAGAAAGCGAATCTTTTGCGGGCAACTCGTCGGGCAGAAGTAACGGCAGCGTTGGAGTTGCGGGCAGCGGGGTTGCAATCACCCGATTGGTCGGCGTTTTGCCCGAGCTCTCCAGACACTGCTCCGAGCTTCACGAAATCTTCCATCCCGCAAATGCCGCCCAAGCTGACGTGGCACAGCCGTCCGATCCTGCAACCGGCGCCGCATCTGGCGCCGCAAATGGCGGGCTCCAGGGACTATCTACGGGTCCTTCCAGCAGAAGCGTATGGGCGGTGCACGCCCTTCGGCCGCTGCTGCAGGCTCTGCGGGTGGTTCGGAATCTGTTGGCAGGCTCGGCACCCAATCAGGACGCGTTCCTGCGGTGCGGCGCAGTGAACCTAGTGGCGACCATCGTGGATAGATTAATTACGAGCCGCGACTTGCATGCAGCTCCGGAAACAGGCGCAATCAAGGAGCAGACCAGAGATGCGACTAAATTGAAAGAGATGGGGATTGTATCCTCGTTATCAGACGCTCTGGCTTCGTTAATGGCTGAAGTGGGAGGTACAGTGGAAGGTACAGTGGCCGAGAGTCTTGGAGAAATGGAGGACAAGGCGACATCTCCAGAAGCAGCTGCCGCCTCATCAATTGAGACGCGCTCCATCCCCCTCCCCCCCAACCATTTAGACACGCTTAAAACGGTCCTGCAGCTTCTGGGAAACTTCTGCGGCGGCAGTAGGAAGCAGCAGCAGGCAGTGTGGGACAGGTGCTTTCCAGGAACCTTCTCCCGGGTTGCAGCGGCAGGGGGGGCAGCAGGGCGGGCGGCGGGAGTGCGGTCGGCACTGTGCATGGTACTGTTCACGTGCGTGCGGACCAATCAGAAAGCAGCAGAAGATTTGGGAGGTTCGGCAGAAGGGGTTGATTTGGTGGGCAGGATTTTGAGGGGAGAGATGGGGAAGTGGAGGAGGAGGGGGAGAAGAGAGGATGGGGATGGGGGAAGGGGAGATGGGGAGAAGGAGGAGGAGGAGTTGGGGGAGTGGGAGGAGAGGGAGGAGGAATGGAATTGGCTTGCTCCCAACCCACATGATCATGGTACGACCGCCCAAGCTTCACTTCGTGTCACCTCACCTGCCCGCCGCTCCCCTCCGCCCTCCCCCACTCTCCAACTCCTTTCCGATTCTTCTCTCCTTCCCCCCTTCCCATCTCCCCTCAGACGCCCCGGCCACCTCTCTTGATCCCTGGATCAGCCTGCTGCTAGAGCGATTGAGGCCACTCCGCTCACTGCACCACCCTCACCCCATCCATTGTTTTCCTCACTGCTTCCACCCCCCCTCCCCCCTTTCTTCCCCCCAGATGCCCCCGCCACCTCTCTCGATCCCTGGCTCAGCCTGCTTCTGGAGCGCCTGTGCCTTCGTGGAAGCTTCTTCCAGCCGCTTTTCACTGGGCTGAGCAGGAAAGGGGGAGAAGAGGGGAAGGAGGAGAAGGGGGAGGCGGGGGGGGAGAAGGGAGAGGCAGCTGCTTTGTTCTTAGAGCATCTCGATTCAAGGGGGTTTAGCTGGGAGCAAGCGGGGCTGCTGTGGGGGGTGTGGGGGGCCCTTGCTGCAGTGGCAGAAGCACAGGGCGTGTCAGCTGGGGTTGGGAGAGGGGACAAGGAGGAGAGCGGGGAGAAAGAGGAGAAAGGGGGGAAAGGGGGCCAAGTGGAGAAGGAAGGGAAAGGAGAGGACCAGAAGGGGCAGGGGCATGGAGAATTATTTCCGCCTGTTGGTCCGGGCAGATTGAATTTTCTTCTGACCGTTTGCAGGAGTGCTGCACAGGCTGTGGCACGGGCTCAGGCGAAGGGTCTGCTGCTGTCACCTGGTAACCAGGTGGCACCTGGTAGAAAAAAAACTAATAAAGGGGTACCTTATAGCGAAGCCTTGTCAGCACGCCACATCCTCCGATTCTCCCTGCACTGCCTTCGCATCCTTGCAGCCCTGGACCCCGAACCAGCCGCCGAACCTGCCCAGCCAGGTTCGGCAGTCCCAGGCTCAGCAAGCACAGACCTGCTAGCAGCAGTGGGAGGTTCGGAGCTGATTCCGCTCCTGCTTGATCTGCTGCATCGGCTGGGTCCCCCTGCTATCGCATCAGCAGCAGCAGCAGCAAAAAAACCATCAGGAATGGCAGCGACAGCTGAAACAGCAACAGAGACAGTCACAGTATCATTATCAAGTTCACCGGTCTCGACCGCTCTGTACCCATCGTGCAACCCATACCCTGGTTACCGCAGGGACGTGGTGGCAGTGATTGCGAATGCGTGCCATGAGCGCAAGGCATACCAGGATGCTGTGCGGTGCTATACCGCTCCTAGCATTCCGGTATCTGCTGTTGACAGCAGCAGCAGAAGCGCCACCAGCAGCAGCAACAGTAGCAATCCAACCCCCAGCAGCAGCACCCCCACTCCCAGCAGCAGCACGCCTACCCCCACCACCAACACCACCCCCAGCAGCAGCATCATGAGCAGCGGTCTCTTCCTGGTTCTGCAGCAGTGTGTGGCAGGCAACAGCTCGCAGGGCGACGATCTCCTGAGGGAGTGGGGGCTGTGGGCCGTGCGGAACCTTCTAGAAGGCAACCCCGAGAACGCTGCTGACGTGGCGGCGCTTGAGGTGAGGGGCGGCGCGCAGACAGAGGGGTTGAGAGAGATGGGGCTGGCTGTTGAGGTGGATGAGAGGAGTGGGCGACCTAAGCTGAGGAATATCGGAGCCGATGGGTTGTGAGCGGAAAAGAGGGGTAGACAGAGGGGTTGAGAGAGATTGATGGGGCTGGCTGTTTTTGAGGTGGATGAGAGGAGTGGACGACCTAAGCTGAGGAATACTGGAGCAGATGGGCGGTGAAGGGAGGAGAAATGGAAGTGAAAGTCCCTTATCGTGGTAGACGTGGAGATGGATGGGAGGATCAGTCGGCCAGAACTGAAGAATTTTGGAGCAGACGGGCAATAAGAGATTCGTGTTTCAAGAAAGAGGGGATGGTAGACGCGCATTTTACAACTCAAGCGGTCTCTTCGTTGTGATGCCGGTAGTAGACATTACGGAATGTCTTCATAGTGGAATGGAAAGAGATTTCTGTCACTTTTTGTTGGATCATTCACATCACAGCTGAATGTATTTGCACAGATTACGGTGTACATAGAAAGAAATTGCACTCGATAACATAAATGACAAGAGAAAGAAAAAAACGAGAAAAGAATGGACAACATGCCACCTTTTATTCTTAGCAGAACAGAGATTACCAGGGCAGCACGCCCCTGACCCAGAAGCACCCTTATACATCCTGCGTTCGCCCAGCCTTGGTTCTCCTGCAGGCTTCACACCACCAGACTTGTATCTGCTGTGAGCTGCCTACTCTCCCGTGGGGCTTCCTCTGACTTCCACAGCATCCACTCCACGGCACCATACCACACACTGTCCACAATGCCATGCACCAGGGACGCACCAGAAACAGCATCACCAGCACCAACAGTGCCCCAATGTAACTTGGCCTCCCTTAAGGCCGCTCAGAGTGCCAACCAGTGCCGTGAAGTCATCCCAGAAACCCCAAACCCGTACCCTCAAACAACCACAATCCAAAACAGTAAGCACACCCCTGAAAAGCACACCCCATCAAACTATGCACACCCCAGAACACACGCTTTCAAGCCCGCATGACGGATCAGCACACAGCAGCACTCCTCCCTGCAGCCATATCGACAAGCCACTGTGCTGCAACATAGATGCTGCTATCCGCCTTCTTCTCACCCCCATCCGTCCCCATGTCCATGCTTTCCATGCTTCCAATCCACCCTCCCGCCTTGGCACTGTCCACGTCAGCATGCGAAAACGAATCCTGTGAACCAAAGCGCACTGGTGACGTGGCGGGGCTTGATTGGACCATGGGCGGAAGGCGTGGTAACGAGAACGGGGTGTAGCTGCCACAGCCAGATACGTCGACAGATAGAGCCCAAGAGAACGGAAGCACAGGCCTTTTCTCTGGAGTGTTGGTGCTGCTGCTGTTGATGCTGTTTCCTGCTGCTGCCGCTGCTGCTGCTGCTGCTGCCACTACTGCCATTCCTGCTCCCGCTTCTGCTGCTGCTGCTGCGGCTGCTGCACATTCTCCCTCATTCCCACTACTACTGCCGGCCCCCGCTGCACTAACCGGGATGCTGCTGCTGCTGCTGTTGCACCGGGAAAGCACGCTTATCTGGGGACGGCTGGACCCGGAGAGAGCTACAGGCACCTCTACAGCAGTGCTGCCACGGTTCACCGCCTCGGTATCTCTCACTGCTACAGCGGTGCTGCTGCCAGGCGTGTAACGAGGCGGCTCAAAACGAGTACAGCTGGAGAGAGCCACGGCCACTTCTACAGTCGCGCTGTTGCTGGTGCCTTGGAGGTCTGGCAAGGGGAGACGAAGGGGGAATGGAAGAAGCAGACGGGAAACCGTGAGCAGGAGAGAAACGAGGACGGAAAACGGCAGTCAGCGGGACAGCTACATGTTCGGTGCCTTTCCATTATCAAACCGTTGTTTTAAAAAACTCATCCTTCCATCCACCAAGTCCTTTCCAGATCACCAAAACCCAAACCCCTTCGGTTATTCCCAAATAACCCGTGCCCGAAACCCCTCGTTGAACCTTCACGAGCACATACTTAAAACCCTAACATACCAGCAAGGGGGCTCTCGACGACGCGCGGCCGCGCGGGGAAAGCGGGCTCGGCGCGCATCTTCCAGCAGTAGGCGGGATCGAACTCCACGCGCACCGTCGTCACCGCGCCCCTGCTCCTGCTACCGCCGCTGCTGCTCCTGCTACCGCCGCCGCTGCTCCGGCTGGCGCCGCTGCTTCGGGTCCTGCCGCCGCCGTTGCTGCCGTTGCCGTCCCTGCCTCGCGCTCTCGCTCTCCGCCTAGAGGCCGCGGGCGCATCCGGAGTAGCGGGCGCATCGGCTGCTTCGCGCGCATTGCCAGGAGTGGCTTGCGCAGCGGGGCGAGTCGTCTCCCTGCTTCGCGTAAGGAGGTCCTCGGAACAGAGCAGAGGGCCTGCACGACAAAACAAGAGTGCTCCGTAAGCCAATTGTAACACAGAGTAACGACTAGTGCACCAAACTCAAAACCCTGGATCTCGAAAACCCCAGTGGAAGCACCATTCCCCCCAAACAACCCCCCCCCCCCCCCCCCCCCCCCCCCCCCTCTCCCCCCTCCCCCCCAAATGTATTGATTCGCTTTCAGTACCTGAGTCGCCGTCGCAGCGCTCGTGCGTGTCGCGTTCGTAATCCATTGCCACCGATGCTGACGGCTCCGCTTTCACTCGCACGGGAAGCTCCGCCCCTGCCCCAAACCGGACCTCTGCCCCGCGCAAAATCTCTTCTCCGCTCCGAACCGTCTCGCGAGCTGTGGTAAGGCTCCCCGCGCCGATCCGTTCCGAACCTGCAAGAGGAAAGTTTCAGTGGGGAAAGGTTTGAGAACGGAAACCCTCAGAATACGGATTCGCGACGCACATTGGAACCGATGCACGCGCAACAGTACATGCAAATGATTGGATCTCGGCCTAACACACGGTTCCAAAGATTTTGAGACTCACCATTGCTGGGAGAGGCCTTGATCGGAGAGTCGTTGATGGGAGAGGCGTTGCTCCATGTGTGCGGCCGAGATCGCATCCGCCGCTTCTTCCGCACCGTGAACACTAACATTCCGGGACACTCGCCATCGCCATCGCCATCACCGTCGCCATTGCAGTCCGCGTCGCGGGACCTTTTCACACGGCCGCTGTTCCAGTTAACCTCGTTGCTGCCCGAATCGGAGCCGGTTATACCGAGTACACTCCCCGAGTTTGACGAGGCCGCACCGTGGTACCTCCTAGAAGGACGATCCCACTCGCAAGCCACGGGATCCGGGCGAGATCCGCGCTTGTACGCGTTAGTGCATTCCCTTGTATCGCAGCACGCGCAGGAGGACTCCTCGGACCGCGAGATCCTTCCAGATCCCTGAGAACACGGCGACGCCCACGGCTCGCTGCTGCTGCTTACGCGCCTACGGCTCTCAGCCTCGAGCAACTCTGGAAGGACGGCGTCAGCAGCATTGATCCTACCGGATCTGATCCTATCAGGGGAGGGGGCGGTCGTATCACTGTCGTAACTCATGGATTGCTCCGCTGCCTCTTCTTCCTCTTCGCCGCCCTCTGCCTGCCACGCGGATTCGTAGAGAGGATGCGGATCTATGGCGGGGACCACGGCTAGCATTGATTCGAGGGAGGAGGACTCGATCTCGGCTTTCGCGTCCTCGTCAATCGTGCCGTTCGTGACGGCTCGCGCCCCGTGAAGCTTGTACGACAGCCTGAGTGTGAAACGAAGAGAAAAGGAAGAAAAAGAAGAGAGCAAGGAAAGGAACGTATGAAGTATGGAAGAGTCGATAACAACAATGTGAGCGGTGACGGAAATCTGGTACTAGGAGAATGCAGGGTTTACCACCCTTCAATCCAGGAGAGATGCCAAGCAAGGGCCTTCAGCAAAATGCTAGCGACATAAGAGGCTAATGGGACTCAGATGAGACATATCTCGCAGCAGTGATAGAAGCCGTCACGTACCTATCGTACACTCGTGCCGCCTCCTGCTGGTTCGCGAACATGCCGAAGCGGCAGCGAGTACCGCGAATCTGAATGCGAGCAAGCCAGCCATCTTTGTACACCTCCACACCTCGCATTTTCACTGGATTCCGCAGCATCATGGAACTCATTTTCGCGTTGATTGCCGAGATGCTCAAACGACTAAGCGTGGATTGTAAAACACGGAGTTTGCGTGGATAGGAGAGAAGCTAGAGACATTACAGAACTAGTGAGCTCCTGGAACAAGGAATCCCTTGCCGCCTAACACAAGGGAAACTTGAGAAGCCGAAGGCAAATGAGGAAAGTGAGATTAGATTGGTTTGGAGAAATGAGAAAAAGAGAAATCGGAGGTGGGAAATGAAGAAATCGCTTTCTGCAAAAAGCAAGGCGGGAAAATCTGGGAACAGAGCAAGCAACCGCGGCAGTGGCGATTGGCGAGGGTTTGCTCCCTCGCCAGCTTCTAGAGAGGGCTGATTGTTATTGGGGGCAGAGCCCAAAACCACCGCAGAATCACTAAACCCGCGTGCCGATCGACGGTTGAAATTCACGTTGTGGATAACACGTGGCACTGAAAGGTGCAAGCGCGGCCTCTTGGAGCCACAAAGGGGATCCTTGGGAATTGCCACAAGCAAGAGTTTTCTACGCGTGAGAACCTCGGTGCTCGCAAGGCGGTGTGGCAGGCACGACACTGGCGGCTGCGTTGGCGGTGCTGCGATTTTATTGGTGAGAGTCGCCAAAATCCGTGGAGCACCATGGCAGGACAGCTCTGGTGGCGCTAGAAAATTCGGACGGTCAGGTGTTGAAATCTTTGCCTCTTGGCGTCGATTGTCCGTGCTGGCGATTCGAAATGATGCACTGTGTACAATTGATGCCTGTTTGAGCCCCTCCCGGTTGCCTTATGAAGGGGGCGTATAAGCTGTCACGAGCATTTCGCATAAGTTTCGTCAATTCGCAGCTAGCTAAAAAGAATTCGCATGTGCTTATAAACAAGACTCTGCTACCTAGTTACCTAGTTTGACTTCAGTCTCTTCTGCTTGACTTCGGTCTCTTCTGCTTGACGCGCTTGTAATGTAGGTGCATAAGGCTGGGGAAACAACCTCGGGTGCAGCGTATCCATCCGGCGCAAGGCAAATTCGCGTGCATGGGGTGAGCATCAATTGTACCTGGGCCACCGCTAGGCAGCAGCAAATCAAAGCAACTTTTTTGGCTGTATTCGACGTCAGCCCGCCTCGGATCACAACGCCAAAGTGACAGGTGGTGGACGTGTGAACGCTCAATAACAACTCTAAAAAGAACCTTTTGCTTACACATTGAAGCGAACCGAATGAAGTGTGGAAAGGAAAATCGACAACACACCAAGCGGACATTTGCTTCCCAGAGTTCCTTCGATATGGGCAGAAATCCGAAACAAAATTTGCATTAAGTGGCTTGATTGGATTCTTCCAACGCATCTTCCTGGGCTGTAGATTTTGTGTCGTTATCGCAGCGATCACACCAATCGCCAAAGGTGGTCACTGGATTTTTGGGAGCTGGACAGGAGGTGTTCCCGAGAAAAACTGCACGCCTAAAATGGTCGCTAACTCGCACGATTTCAGGACAAACATTTTACAGCAAATCACTGCTGTTGACTCGGAAATAGTCAATGCTGATGTCTAAATGTTATTAAAATGATGCGAACACCACAGGCCCATGTTTCTCTACAGTTTGTATTCCCATGTCTTCAAGCTAAATACCAGAGGAGAAACTTCAAATTTGAAATTTTTGCTTGTCTCATCCACACACAGGTTGTCGTCTCGTACACCTCGTTGAACAGGCAAGTGTATATTGGATAGATGCCCTGACAGATCCTGCCTGAACAAATTTAGGTGGCTAACAGCTGTTTCCAGCATCAAGATTCTAGATTCAAAGTACAGTACAGTAAATTGTTTGTTGCTGTGAGCTGGTCCTGCAATCGTGAAGAGGCACATTCGTCTAAAGCGCGTACGCAAGTCACTTTTCCGTGTTACACTGCACGTCTCTTTTTGCTAATCGTAGATCAATTCTTGTGCGCCATATCCAAATCAGGTGTGAGTTGACAACTAATGGACAAGAAAACAACGATCAACCCGGAACCTTTGTTAGCAACGGTACCAAATCATCGCGGTATGGCTACAAGACCCGTTGAAAAAGGCGGTCCCGGCGAGAAAGCGGAGGGAGACGAAGGAGGCCATTCTGACGAAGAAGGAGAGGACGGGTCGCTGGATATGGAGCCCATGGATCTCGAGGAGTGCTTGCGCAATCTGCCGGTAGTTGCGGCGGAAGAGGTGGTTCAGCGCCGGCTAAACCGCCTCAGAAAGTCAGTTCCTTTCTTTATTGCGCAATCCTAACTACCTGAACATTCGCAACCGCGGCGCACACCTCGTTATGATTGATATTTGCGGGTTTGTTTGCGTGAGCGATGTATGTGTCAAACCCTAATTTCGCTTTTGAGATGGAATTCGTTCAAAACTGTATGCAGCAGCCACGGGGGTCGACTTGAACTGTGATACATTGTCTCCTGATTGATGCGTATTCTCCCACGACCTAAATTTCTCCTTTCACCTCTTTCCTGCTTCGTTTTACGCCGCTCCGCTACAGGCTCATGGCGGTGTATCGCGGGCAGTACTGGGCGCTGCTGGAGGAGCTGCGCGCCAAGTACCGCCGCTTCTGCATGCGCACTGGGCAGAGCGGATGGAAAGAGCCCGCGCCCGCAGCAGGCGCGCATCCTTCCGCCACGGGCGGAACAGCCGCAGCGGGAGAAGGCAGCGACTTCCCCTTTCCGCCTGCTTCGCGCCCCCACGCGCTTCTTCCGCCTCCGCCGCCCCCTTTTGGCCCCCCTTTCCCGAGAGACACGAGCTTCCGGGCAGCAGCTGGGGGAAGCGGTGTAGATGGTGGCGGGGCAGTGGGGGAGGGCGGAGCAGCGGGGGAGGGCGGAGCAGCAGGGGGAAGCGGGGCAGCGGCGGGGGCAATGGGGGTAGGGGGAGCAGCCAGGCCGGAGCCGCATGCGCCTGACAAACCAGCGAATGCCACGTTGCACTGCGCGGCTCCTGGACCGTGCCTGGCAAAGCCCCTGGCACTATCCGTCTTCTGTTTGAATCACATTCTATTAGAGCCGCGCCAGAGGCTCTACAAGCCCTGCACCTACATCGTCTGCTGGTACATTCCCGCATTCCCCTTTCTCTCCCCCTCTCACTTCTCCCCCTTCCCGCCCATACCCCCGCCGTCTTCTGCTTGAATAACACCCTGTTGGAGCCTTTCCCCCCACACCTGCTTACAGCATCCCACCCATTCCTCCACTTCCCTAATTCCCCACCTTCTTCCCCCCTCCTCTTTCTCCCCTACCCTCGTCCATACCCCCGCCGTCTTCTGCTTGAATAACACCCTGTTGGAGCTTTCCATCCACACCTGCTTACAGCATCCCACCCATTCCCCCACTTCCCTAATTCCCCCCTTCCCTCCTCCCACTTCTCCCCTTCTGTTTGAATCACACCCTGTTGGAGCACTTCCAGCCACACCGGCCTACACTCTCTCACATTTCCCCCCCCCCTCCCCCCCATGCCCCTCCGCCCTCTTCTGTTCCCCCAGGGGCTCCAATAGCGGGGCGCACCTGCCCTGCGGGCGCCCCGCGTTTTCCGCCTTCTCCCCCGTCCTCTGCGCCCACCACCGCCACCTCATCCCGCCAGCTCAGCAGCCCTTCCTGCCACCTCATCGGGGGTACCTGGAACCCGTTATAGTGGAAGGGGGCGCGAGTGCGGGAAAGAGGGGAGGGGAGAAGGGCGGAAAGGGTGGGGGGAGGAAACGGAGGAAGAAGGGGAAGGGGGGTAGAAGAGGCATGAGCGGGGGAGCAGGAGAGGGGGATGGGGCGGGGCTAGAGGGAGGGAAGAAGCAGGTGGGTGTGCTTACACTGAGTGTGATTATAACGGAGATGGTTAGGACGATTCAGACCCAACGGAGGATGTTAGAGGAAGAGGAGGAGGAGGGGGGAGAGGAGGGAAGGGGGATGGAGGCAGAGGGGATGAGAGAGGATGGGAGGAGAGAGGAGAGGGAGGAGAATGGAGAGGTGCAGAGTGGTGGAAAAGAGGAGGGTTTGCGAGAAGAAGGGGAGCTGAAAAGAGTGAGAGAGGGGAGCAAAAACGGAGGAAGAGGAGGGGGTGGGAAAGGAAAGGCGGAAGAGATGGCTTTAAGAAGTCTACATGATGATCCGGCAGAGGACGGGCGGCACAAGTGGCTGAATGAAATCGAATCTGGGTATGATGGTGCTGGTATGGATTGGATGCATGGGGAAGGCACAGGGGTGGGAGGAGGAGGATTGACAGGAACAGTTTATGAGAGTTTCCAAAGTATGCCTGTGGCACGGCCTGGTGTGGCTTATAACGAGTCTGGAGCAGGATTAGGTGTGGCTTATAACGGGTCTGCAGCAGGGTTTGGTGGTTCCCCTTACTCCCCTGTCCCGCACCTCCTGACCCATAGCAGCAGCAGCAGCAGGCGCAGCCCCGTTTTCCGCTCAGTAGCTGCTGCTACAGCTGCCGTTCCTGTTGGTGCTTCAGATGCTGCTGCTGCTACAGTCGCTGTTCCTGTTTCAGCTGTAGCAGAAGGGCCTGCTACAGGTGTGACAGGCCCTTCTGCTACAGCCGGTTCTCGTGGTGTAACAGGTGAAGGGCAAGCGGTGGAAAATTCCAGGCAGGGTGTATCAGGGTGGACAGAAGAGGCAGGAGGGGTGGGGGAGCTAGCAGCGGTGAAAACAGCAGCAGGAGGAGAAGGAGGAGGAGGAGGAGCAGAAGCAGCGGCAGCAGGTGGAGGGGGAGGTGGGGAGGGGCAGGGCATGGCGCCTGGCAAGAGCAAAGGGGGAGAAGTGGGGTCCAAGAGGAAGAGAGATGAAAGCACAGGCCCTGTTTCAAACATTAACACGGGATACGAAGGAGGGCCTGGGATGGGGTTGCATAGGAGCATGGCTACGGACATGGGTTTGGACATGGGCACGAGTATGAATGTGGGTATCAATCCGAGCATTGGGTTTGGTATGAGCATGGGAGTGCAGATGGGTGGTGGGGGAATGGACTCTGCCATGCAAAGTCAAGGTCATGGCATGCAGGCAGGTGAGGGGCTAATCTCGCATACACAATTGCCCAAGAAAGGGCTTTCTCAGGAGTTACCTCTTCGGTTTCAATCCCCTGGTGCTGCTGCTGCTGCTGCTGGTGCTGGTGCTGGTGCTGCTGCTGCTGCTGGTACTGTTGCTGGTGCTGCAGGTGGCAGTGCTGCTGCTGCAGGTGGTGCCGCTGCTGTTTCAGGTCTGGGTTATTGTAGGACTACAGTAGCAGCACCGAGGGGTTTCCTTTCATCAGCCCGCCCGCAATTTTCGGGCAGCACAGAAATGTCATATGATGAGCCGTTTGCAGGCGGTGGTTCGGAAGCGGATAGCCTGTTTTGTCCTGACGTGCCTTGGCATCATGGCACTCACATGCCTGTCCATCATGCCCCTCACATGCATGTGCATACTGCCGCTGACATGCATGTATCTCTATCTGGGAACGCGCATGGTAGACCAGCGTATGGTCATGGCAGGCTTTCGGGCTTGAATGCAGCCTCTGCTGACACGGCTGCTCCTTCTGATACCCATGCTGGTCCATCCGCTTATCAGCGCCGTCGTCACAACCAGCACCAACAGCAGCAACAGCAGCAGCATCCTTCTCCTCCTCCTCTCCTCCCTCCGTATCACCACTCTTCTCCTCCTCCTCTCCTCCCTCCTTATCACCACTCTTCTCCTCCTCCCACTGCTCACCACCACCCTTCTCCTCCTCCCCCTCCTCCCCACCACCCTTCTCCCCCTCCCACTTCTTGTCACTACCTCCCGTCTCCCCCGCCCCCTCCCGCGTCCCATCATTCACCCACGCAGGACCTATCTCTATGCCACACTCATTCCCCCACAGCTAACACCTCCCTAGGCCCAGCTTTTGAATCGACGCATAAGCACACGCAGTCAGCCGCAGCAGGCACAGCAGATGGCTCAGTAGGTCCCGAGGAGAGCTTTGAAGGGGAGGGCTTTGCAGAATATTTCTGGCATCCAGGGGGGTTTATCGACGGCTCAGATGCAGCCGTGGCTGGCTTCTGTTTACCACCGGATGCTCCTCCCGCTATTCGCGATGCTCCTGTCCTTCCTGCTGCTCCTGATGCTCCTGCTGTTCCTCCTGCTGCTGTTCCTTCTGCTGCTCCTGCAGCTGTTCCTGCTTCTGCTCCTGCTGCTCGTGCTGCTCCTGCTGTTCCTGCTCCTGCTCCTGCTCCTGCTGCTGCCGACTCGTACTGTTGCTCTTGCCCCCGCTTCTGCTGCTCCTGCTGCTTTTGCCGCTGCTCCTGCCCCTGCTCCTGCTTTTACTCCTGCTGCTTCTGCTGCTGGTAATGCTCCCAGGCCCGGACCTTATTCCGAACTTGTTCTGGTATCCGAACCTGCCCAGGCACGTGTATCCGACCCTTCGGGAACCCTTGGTTTGGATGCACCAGGTACTGCGGTAGCGCCCGCTCCAAATGACGTTCACTCCTCGGTTCCCACTGCTGCTGCTGTGCCTCCTCCTCCTCCTCTTGCTCCCACTGCTGCTGCAGATGCTGCCACAGGAGTCACCACAGGTGTTGCTGCAGGTGCTTCTACAGGTACTGCTATAGATTCTGCTCCTGCTGCTACTACAGTTGCTGCTGCCACAGGTGCTGTTACTGATGCTGCCACAGCTGCTGCTGCCACAGGTGCAGTTACTGGTGCTGCTACAGGTGCTGCTGCCCCAACCACCCGCAATGCCACTTCAATCAAGGTGTCACCTCCTCCTGGGGCTGCTGCAGTTGTTGCTGGAGCGAGGATAAGCGCTTCAGACGTTGCACGTACCAGTGCCAGTCAAGTGACAGCAGGTGCAGTGGAGATTGCAGCAGCCAGTGCAGCAGCAAGTGCAGGTGTGCCAAAGGAGGGCAGCGGAAGTGGAGGAGGAAAAAGCGCTGGTGGAGGTATGACCAGTGGAGGTATGACCAGTGGAGGTATGACCACAGGAACAAGTGCCAAGATACATGCTGTAGCTGCTACAGCAGCAAGAGCTGCACCAGCAGCAGCATCAACCCTACCAGCAGCAGCAGCATCAACCACACCAGCAGCAGCTTTCATGTCAAGTCCAAAATCGACAGGGAGTCAGCCGCACCTCACAGCAGGATTCTTCTCACAACCCGCACCACCTTCTGTAACACGGTTACCACCCCAGCCTCCACCATCTCCTCTTTCAAGACGAGGGCTGCACAGTGCTGCCACTGTTCCTCCGCCCACTGGAATGCCTGCTCCTGCTCCTGCTTCTGCTGCTGCTGCTACCACTACTACTGGTGCTGCTGCTACTGCTACTGCTCCCATTGCCATTGCTGCTGCTACTGCCCCTCCTGCTTCTGCTAGTTGCGCCGCACGCTCCATTGCTCCTGCTGCTGCGCCTGCTGGTTCTGCTGTCACTTCCCCTCCTACTCCGCCTGTTGCCCCTTGTGCTGACACCATTGCTCCTGTCCCTGCTGCGTCTTCTGCTGCTCCCCCGGCTGCCACTGCTGCTACTGCTGCCACTGCTGCTACTGCTCCCACTGCTCCTACTGCTGCCACTGCTGTCACTGCTGCTGCTGCTCCTCCCACTGCTTCTACTACTCCTACTGCTCCCACTGCTGTCACTGCTCCCACTTAGGCTCCCACTGCTGGCACTACAGCACGAGCCCCTGCACCCAAACTCTCTGCTCAGAAGCCCTCGGATTCTAACCACCAAGCGTCTGTCTCTGCACTCAGGGCTCTCCCCCCAACAAGCCCTCACAGCATGCCCTACACGCCGTATCTCACTCCTGGGAGTGCCCTGATGCCCTACGGCTCCCCACTCCCCTCGGTAACCTTGGGTTACCTTCCTGCTCCCACCACTCCCACTGCTACTGCTGCTTCCGCTGCTGCCGCTGCTGCTCCTGCTAGTGCTTCTGCTGCAACCGCTGGCGCGGCTGGTACTGTTTCCTCTCCTGTCGCTTCTGCTACCACTGCAGCTGCTGCAGCTTCTCCCTCGAATCGTGGAGCCGCTTCTAACCAACCAGGCCCTGCCACGTCACCTCCTGCTGCATTGGGTGTTTCCTATTGGCCAGGTGCTTCCCCAGGTTACCCACCCACCGCTCCCCACCCATCCCACCCATCTCACCCATCAGCCTACCCGCCTTATCCCTACATGTCGCCTTATGGTTACTACCCTCCATACCCTCCACCCCATATGGTTTCCCCGCCGCAATACCCTTTCCATCCCCATTATCCGCACATGCTACCCCATCATGGTACACCCATGCCCCCACCATCTCATATGCCGTATGATTCTTCTGCTGCTACTGCGGCTGCAGCGGCAGCAGTGGCAGCAGCGGCTGCTGCTGGTGGTGTTGCTGGTGGCGCTGCTGCTGTTGGTGCTGGTGGCACTGGTGGTGGCGCTGGTGGTGGTGGTGCTGCTGCTGCTGGTGCTGGTGGTGGTGGTGCTGCTGCTGGTGGTGCTGGTGGTGCTGCTGCTGGTGGTGCTGGTGGTATGATGCGTGTTGCACCTGGTTCCCCACCCATGCACCCTAGTGCGTACCACCATCACGCACACCATCAATTTCCCCCACCCATGCCTCCCGCATATGGGTATTATGAGCATTGGCACCCGCATTATCCTCCTATGCCCCATCTTGCTTCTCATCCCCATGCGCGCCCACATGCACAACCCACTGCACATCCCCATGCACATCCCCATCCACATGCTTATGGAGCGAGGGGAGGGAATCATGGGATGGTTGGGGAGGGCGTTGGTTCAGATAGGGCGGTGAGAGCTTCTAGTCCGGCTGTGGGTGGTAATGAAGGAGGGAGAGGAGTGGAGGGTGGTTCGCATGGTTTGCCACATACGAGCTGAGTTGGCTAGCACTGATGATATGTTTCTGGTTTGTTAGCATATGTAGTCAGCTTGTGTTGATTTCTATACTGGGTCTCAGCCGTCTGTATTGTATGCGGAGTTGTTAATAGTGAGGACTTATTTGGCTTCTGCTTGGTTCCCGAAAAGTGAGCACCATTCGGAGTTTCATGCTTTTCCCTGGCACTCTTGTGTATGAACCGATGACATGGCATGAACCGCATTGATTCCGCGTCACTGGTGCACGACGCGGGCCAGCTTCTCGCGTCCACAAGTCAACCTACACCCACGTCATCAGTCCACGACCACATTTGCTGATCCTGGCCTCGTCAGCTGGTCCCAGCACAAAAGTTACCCGCCAAAATGGAAAGTCCAGTCAGAGACGGTTCTGTTCCTTTGGGATCATCATCAGGCAGTCAAATTCGTCCCTGGAATCTGGATTTTGGACTCTCGGGTTTGGCTGGCAATTCATAACTCGGAACGAGAAATTCATTTCTGAAATTACCATATCATCAGGCAGTCAGCCATTCGCCTAGACATTGGAGAAACTAGTCTTTACGTAAGGAGCTTCGTTCTTCTTACGTACACGTAGCGTCGATTAGTCTGCGCTGCACAAAATACGCCAGGTCAAACTAGATTACCTAACTCTCGTCTCTATCTAGTGAGCTGCGCGTTCGCTGAAATGGCTCAGCAGGTTGTCAGGCACTTAGGCCGTCACATCAGGAGGGCCTGCCAGACGAACGCCGTGCACCCCGTCGCCAGTCCCTGGACTGCCATTGCTCGACGCGGCTATGCGGTGAGCGAACTGTCGCCAATCGCTTTATGAGCATTATGATTTCGTGGCAGTCGCTCTCTGAGCTTGTGGCCTTTTTAGTGAACCTCGCGACTTTTTCTTGCCGTTATCTCCCTGCTCCAGGCTACCAATGACGAAGCCTATGCCTGGATTGAGAAGTCCAAGGGCCGCTCAGACGTCTCTGTAAGTACCATTTTCCAGCATGGTCTTGCTTGTTTGGGAGCAACATCCAATCACGGTTCGGCTATATGTTTGTGAATTCTCATGAATTCTTCGGCCATTGTAGCAGTGTCGGATTTTGACGATTCGTCTCTATCTCCTTACTCTTTTTCTCTCGCCCGAAATCGCTTGTCGCAGTGGCCCGCTGTTCTCAACAAGCCTCTTCAAGACATTGACCCCGAAATCTACGACATCATTGAGCACGAAAAGAACCGCCAATGGAAGGTCCGCCGTCCCTCGCACGTCCAGACCCCAACAGCCCTAGCTTTTGTGAATCGCTTTCTCTCCAATTCGCGACATAATTCCACGTATTCGGATCAATAGAGTCAGAGAAATGGCATGGTGCTTTCCTCCTGACGCAATGTTTTTTTTTTCGTTTGTCGGTCAGGGTCTGGAGCTGATTCCGTCGGAGAACTTCACGTCCCAGTCGGTGATGGAGGCTGTGGGGTCCGTCATGACCAACAAGTACAGCGAAGGCTACCCCGGCGCTCGCTACTATGGCGGCAACGAGTGAGTTTCCTCTTTTTCTTCCCCCACGTGAACCTTTTAGTATGCCGTTGAGCCTACCCATTTCTTATTTTTCATCAATCATGGGCCTGCGGTTCTGGATTTCCAGCGCTTTCTGCGCCACGTGGGCATAGCGCATCGCCTCGCCTTTTGCCATCCCTGTTTCAGCGTCAGTTTATCTGGTTCCCGGTTTCCCTGATTCCTCGCAGATTCATCGACATGGCCGAGACTCTCTGCCAAAAGCGCGCTCTGAAGGCATTCCGGCTGGATCCCGCTAAGTGGGGAGGTAAGCCTTTTATTGCGCGTAATAGGATTCAATTCACTCTGCTAAACATTCACAAGGCATGGTATTACTTACGTGCCCGCGACAAAGCAGGTGCCTCCCATCACAACGCTCGCATCATAGCATCTATGAATTCTCTTTCTGTTGTCCTCTTTTTTTTCCCTTCCTTTCTTTTTCACCAGTGAACGTGCAGTCGCTGTCCGGGTCGCCCGCCAACTTCCAGGTGTACACGGCGCTGCTGAAGCCGCACGAGCGCATCATGGCGCTGGACCTGCCGCACGGCGGGCACCTGTCGCACGGCTACCAGACGGACACCAAGAAGATCTCCGCCGTCTCCATCTACTTCGAAACCATGCCCTACCGCCTCGACGAGACCACCGGTCTTATTGACTACGACACAGTAAGTCCTGCCCATTTGCGAGATGCTTGACGAGTAGACGGCATGGTTTGCCTACGGCGTACAGTGCATCCGCGCGATCTCGCGGCTCGTTTCTCCCGTGAGAACAGCCGTTCGTCCACTTGCCCAGTGCTTTGTCCCATCTGCATTTGTTCTTTGAGGCGATTCCGTTTTCCCCCCACGCCTGTTCTTCCATGCTCGGTTTCCTCATGTATCTCCTCGTCCGTCTCCTCTGTGCCTCCAAATTCGTCTCCGCGCCCTCTCGCTCTTCCCGCAGTTGGAGAAGACCGCGAAGCTGTTCCGCCCAAAGCTCATTGTGGCGGGCGCCAGCGCGTACTCGCGCCACTACGACTACCCGCGCATGCGCAAGGTGAGAGCGAGAGCGGGCCGACAAAATAATTAGCTTTTACTCGCGCAAGGTGAGTGAAAGGTCTTCTGAGGCGACTTAAAAGGGTGCCAGCGCGTACTCGCGCCACTACGACTACCCGCGCATGCGCAAGGTGAGAGGTAATTAGGGGTGAGATGGTAAAGATACCTAGTTCGATTCAGACCTTGTAGGCTTTGCGCGAAGGACGCTTCCAAGGCATTACAGAAGCGAGCGCTCGCACAACTATTACTACCCGCGCATGCGCAAGGTGAGAGGGAGTGAGGGCTGTGAAGATTGAGGTACGAATTCCAAGGGTTCGAGGTAAGCAGGGATCGCAGTGCAAGACAGAATAAGTAATTTGCCATGCTTACGCAGTGGTATTCACCATGTACCCTCCGTGCATACCTCCCTCGTCTTCCGCCCGCTTACCTGATTTCCGGATTCCTCTTTCCAGATCGCGGACCAGCAGCGCGCTGTTCTCCTTGCTGACATGGCACACATCAGTGGCCTCGTGGCAGCAGGAGTGGTGCCGTCGCCTTTCGACTATGCTGACGTGGTCACCACCACCACTCACAAGTCGCTCCGAGGCCCACGTGGCGCCATGATCTTCTACCGCAAGGGAGTCAAGGAGACCGACAAGAACGGCAAGGAGGTGAGCTTATATCGAGTATGAATGTTGCACATGGCGGAGCGGAGATGATGTTGTTGAGGGGGGGTGGTTGGGTTGGCAGGATTAGGCGAGGAGAGAGAGGGTGATGGGGGAGCTAAGGAATGTGTAAGAAAGAGTTAAATTTCTCTCAAAACAGAGAAGGATGTCATGAAATAATGGTCGACTGACTGAAAGTCACCTCGTTTTACAACCGGGGTGACAAAATTCAAGACTCTGATTCCGCTTACAGGCACAAGAGCACCTGCTTCTCATTCACTTCCCTCAGAGTCCTCTGATTCTGTCACACCCAGTCTGTCAGTGTCTACCCTCCATTTCAATTCTTTACAATTTAGAACACAATCAGGTCTGTGGCGTTCTTAGTCCTCTGCGGTGGCGATGTGTGCTGGACTCATCCATTTCGGCCTCTTTTCTTGCACCACCCTGCTTTATGTCACTGACTCCCTCGCAGATCATGTACGATTTCGAGGACAAGATCAACTTCGCTGTGTTCCCAGGCCACCAGGGCGGCCCCCACAACCATACCATCACTGGACTTGCTGTTGCCCTCAAGCAGGTGCGTTCTTGTTGGTACCGTTTTCTGAGTCGACTCAAAAGCCAGGCCACCAGGGCGGTCCCCACAACTACACCATCACTGGACTTGCTGTTGCCCTCAAGCAGGTGCGTTCTTGTTGGTACCGTTTTCTGAGTCGACTCAAAAGCCAGGCCACCATGGCGGTCCCCACAACCACACCATCACTGGACTTGCTGTTGCCCTCAAGCAGGTGCGTTCTTGTTGGTACCGTTTTCTGAGTCGACTCAAAAGCCAGGCCATCAGGGCGGTCCCCGCAACCACACCATCACCGGCCTTGCTGTCGCCCTCAAGCAGGTGCGTTTTCTGGTAGTGATCACGAGGTAGTGCGAGCACACAGCATAACATAACCAACCAACTCCAATCTCACCACGGTCGTCAAGCATGTTACATTCTCCATGTACTGCAACCAGCAATCCTAATGCCAGGGCAGGGCCAGGGGAGCACCTCGTGCCCTTCCTCGCGCACCATGTTTCACACTTCCACAACACAATGACTGGCAATGTTGCATTTGATCGGCGTGTGTCTAGTGGTGACATGTCCCTCCCCTCGGCGAGTCCTTCACGGTTGTTCTGATGGTGCCATGTTCTTCCCTCTCCCCCGCCCCTTGCACGGCGACAGGCAGCTTCAGAAGAGTTCAAGAGGTACCAGCAGCAGGTCATGGCTAACAGCGCTCAAGTTCTTGGGCGATTCAAAGCTCGGTCCTAATTACGCTACTCTTCCTCCCTCTCTTTTCCACCCCTCACATGGCAACAGGCAGCTTCAGAGGAGTTCAAGAGGTACCAGCAGCAGGTCATGGCCAACAGCGCTCGCTTCGCAAAGGTACCCACCGCACCAGACTTGACTCTATTCCGCTGCACGGTTGTTTGTTTTTGTTCTTCCACCCTGTCTTAACGGCTCTGCCATAACGTCCCTACCAACCCCCTACCCATGCCCCCATCCCCGCCCCCTCTTATCTCATCGGAGACTATCATTCACGTGCGCATGTGCCCTTCTCACACCCCCTCACATCCACAAACAATAACATCAGCAGCTGCATGAATTCAATCGATTCTCCAGGCACTTCAAAATTCGCTCACACCCTCGCACCCCCTGACGTGCACACTCATCATCGGTGTGTACCCTGGTTCTAACTCTCGTTTCCAACCTTCCTCCCACTATGCCTCCTCAGGCCCTGCAAGATCGTGGGTACGACCTTGTGTCAGGCGGCACAGACAACCACCTGGTGCTTGTGAACCTCAAGAGCAAGGTATGTCATAGAAAATAGAGTTTCAAAGCTGCTTCTCAAGTACCGAAATCAATCCCTACTCTCCACTCTATTCAATCTCAAACCCTGCTTTCCCTATCGTGCGATACAGTCCTGGTCGAACCTTCTTCCAATGATCCCTCCCCATCCCTCCCCTGCTGTCACGTGTCCATCAGGGAGTGGACGGATCGCGAGTGGAGAGGGTGATGGAGCTGGCTCACATCGCGGCCAATAAGAACACAGTGCCGGGCGATGTCTCTGCCATGGTGCCTGGAGGCGTGCGAATGGGTAAGTGCTGCACTTAATCAAGTATGGTGCACAAATCTTGCAGTGGAGGCCCCTTCGCTCATCATGAAACATCTATCCTCATCTTACGGGGATCTGAAGAGGAGGAATCTGAGATGAGAGGGTGTTATTCCACCTTCCAATCCAATAATGCTTATCATCTCTCGTCCATGCCATTCTGTGCCTTTCTCTCCCCTTTCAGGCACACCTGCCCTGACCTCACGAGGATTCACAGAGGAGGACTTCGAGAAGGTGGCTGATTTCTTTGACCAGGCTGTCAAGATCGCTGTGGAGGCCAAGGCTCTTTCAGGTACACGCCTTGCCATGCACACCATGCCATGCCGTGTCGTGCCATACCTTGCCATCCATGCCCCCCACCGCATGCCGCGACATGCAATCCTGTTTTCTGTGATTACCATGGTCAATGTCAAGCAGCATGTGTTGGTCATGTGAGCTCTCAGTTTTTTCATTCAAGATCCTGGTTCACTCGCTGAAAGTGATCCTGACACCACTTTTTGGAATCGATGCCATCTGCAGGGCCTAAGCTGAAGGACTTCCGCACCACGGTGGACACGAACCCCGAGATCAAGGAGGCGATTGCAGGGTTGAAGCATAACGTAGAGGAGTTCGCCAAGCAGTTCCCCACGATTGGCTTTGAGAAGGGCACCATGCGGTACTCCACATAGTGCTCCTCTTTGTTGCGGGGTTTTTACCTTTACCCCCATCTTTCATCCTATTGTTTACATGGTGACACCTTGTTATATTCTCCGTTATCCTGTTTAAAAATATGAAATTATAGCTTTCTTTGATGTAATGAGAATACTGAAAGAAATTGTCAGGTAACAAGCAGATGAAGGATGCAGTCCTACCCTACAATACAAATGTTCACAAGCACACCCACTGATGGAATCTTCAGGCAGCGGTCACAGGCACACCTGAAGTCACTCATGGGTTTAGTGGTGTCGTGCTTCTTATACTGCTTCCACAGCTGCTGCTGCCCTGACTGTGCGTGTAGCTGCTGCCTACACCACCTTCCACCCTGTGATTCGCATGTCCCTGGGACGCGCCAAGCGCACTGGGCATCACAAAAGCAACACAGCCACCGATGCTGACTCCGCTGCTGCTGCCGCCCTGACGAATCTGACGATCGGCACTGCAGGCCCCAGAACGCACACATTCCTCTTTGGAAGATTCTACATTGGATGCTGCACCATCGGATGGTTTGCCTGGGAAAGAAGTGAGCTTATACGGGGGATGGTGTAGCATGGTGGGTGGGGGAGTGAGGGAGTAAAGAATGGCCTCTAGACGTGAGCACACTGTTCCCATACCAGGCCTGCGGTAACCAATTGGCTCCGTGCACGACACTGCCAGGTCAGCAAACTCAGTTAGCTGAGGTGGAATATTGGGCATCTGACGTGGCATGCGGGGGTCGAGAATATCTGCCAGATGGCCGTGGGAGAGCATGCGGCGTGCCCAGTCAGCAAGAGTGGTAACACCAAACGACTGGCCACTGGAGGCACCCATAGAAGGATCTTCCAGGAGAAGCTTCGTGGAAGCTGCTCCTCCATGTGATTCCACCGGAATTCGGGAGATTTGATCCTCAGCTGGTACGATTTCTGAGAGTGCTTGGCCTGATTCTTGAGGCCAGGCGATATTTGGTGCTGCTGAGCTGTTGCTGCAGGAGAGAACGTTGAGTAGTGCAGCAGGGCTTGCTCTGCATGAAGCTGTTGCTGAATGGTCCACCCTTGAAGGTAAGCCGGGTGGCTCTGCATCAAAACACGGGTTCGCAGGGTCCTGGGTGGTGCATTCCAGGCTGCGCTGCTCTGTGGCATTATTTGTGGCTTGTTGTTCCATTGCTGATGAAACTGCCGCAGACTCCACTGCTTCTGGTGCAACTGCTGTTGCTGCTGCTTGTCCTGCTTCTCCGGCTGCTGCTGCTGGTGACCCTACACTAGCACGAGCTGGCTGTGGCACAGCAGCAAGGGTGGGGGGTGAAACGTAGAGCAAGGGGCGCTGGCCTGTGAGCAGCTCGAGGAGAACCACTCCAAAGCTGGTGGGGAAGGGAGGGGGAAAAAGAGTAGGAAAAGGGGCGAGAGGGAGCATGGCTTGAGATGACGAACACGGGGTGCTGGCCTGTGAGAAAAAGAGGGCTCGAGGAAAACCACTATGAAGCTGGTGGGGAGAGGGGAGACGGAGAGTAGGGAAGCGGAAGAGAGGGGGCATGGGATGAAACGTAGAGCGAGGGGCGCTGACCTGTGAGCAGCTGTAGGAAAATCACTTCAAAGCTGGTGCGGAGAGGAGAGGAGAGGAGAAGGGGAGTAGGGACAGGGGAGAGAGGACGCAGCAGGTAAGGAAGTGGGACAAGAGCGAGATGAGGAGCAAGGGGCGCTGGCCTGTGAGCAGCTCTAGAAGAACCACTCCGAAACTGGAAAGGGGACAGGCAGGGAGGACATGGGCAGCTGACCTGTAGATGCCTGTCTTGGTGGAGGCATGGTGTGGAGTGATGAACTCAGGGTCCAGGTAGCCCCTCGTGCCTGACAGCAGACACTTGGGCCATCTGGCTCTCAACACGAGGCAAGGGCCACTCACCTGTACACATCAGTCTTGGTGGAGGCGCGGTGTGTGGTGATGAACTCAGGGTCCAAGTAGCCCCTCGTGCCTGACAGCCCGTGTGTGAAGAAGCTCGCTTCCCCTCCCTCCAGCATGCGGGATAGGCCAAAATCAGATAACTTGGGCTGATGGGTAAAGAACGGGGTCAAGGGAACAGGGAGGCAGGGAAGAAAAAGTGGGAAAATACCCCCTCGTGCCTGACAGCCTGCACGTGAAAAAGCTCCCTTCCCCTCCTTCCAGCATGCGGAAGAGGCCGAAATCAGACAGCTTGTGGGAGGGGATGGGGCAAGGAAGGGGGGGGGCAGGGTGGCAAAGGGTCACGGGGACAGCTGGGGAAGGGGCAGCGGGGAAAAGCGAGTGGGCAACCTCATAGGGGCCTCTATGAGATTGCCGCCCTGCGCGGGTGTACCACTGTAGTGTGTCGTGCAAAACCTGCAGCTCTGCTGTGCCTCACCTGCAGCTCTGCTGTGCCTCACCTGCAGCTCTGCTGTGAGCAGTATGTTGAGCGACTTGACGTCTCTGTGTAGCATGCGGTCCCGTGCCTGCAAAGGAGGAGAGGAGCCGGGAACAAGGGCCTAGATGAGTTCGGAATCGACTCAAAAGGGATCAGCATAAGATGAACTGCTCGTTAAAGTCGAGCAGTGCATGGGCAACACCGAGTCGATTTGTGTCGAGTCGATTCTAAGTTGAGTCGCTTTTGAGCCGAGAAGATTTTGAGTCGACTCGATAGGAAAGTTGGCAAGCTGACCTGTTCGTGTATGTAGTGCAGCGCACGCGCGACACCCAGGGCTATGTGCACACGTTGGAGAAAGGATAGCGGGGGACGGGAGAGGTCTGGGTGTGCGGGGATGGGAGGGGGAAAGGGGAGAGGGAAGGGGAGGGATGGAACGAAGAGGAGTGTAGTGCTTCAGAACCTGGGAGATCCAATGGGGCTGGCCACTCGCTCACACACCTACACATACAAATTCCAAAACACAGCAATTTCACTGCCATACTCATTGCACACACTTCCTTCACCTTTGAGCCCACATGTACCATGCAAAGCTTCATAGAGGTTGCCGTTGGGCACGAACTCATAGACCAGCAGCTGCTCTGCACCACCCTTTCATACGCTGCTATCCCCATCAACCGCACTTCCTTCCTTCCCGTGCCCACACCACATACCATGCAAAGCTTCATAGAGGTTGCCGTTGGGCACGAACTCATAGACCAGCAGCTGCTCTGCACCACCCTTTCATACGCTGCTATCCCCATCAACCGCATTTCCTTCCTTCCCGTGCCCACACCACATACCATGCAAAGCTTCATAGAGGTTGCCGTTGGGCACGAACTCATAGACCAGCAGCTGCTCTGCACCACCCTTTCATACGCTGCTATCCCCATCAACCGCACTTCCTTCCTTCCCGTGCCCACACCACATACCATGCAAAGCTTCATAGAGGTTGCCGTTGGGCACGAACTCATAGACCAGCAGCTGCTCTGCACCACCCTTTCATACGCTGCTATCCCCATCAACCGCACTTCCTTCCTTCCCGTGCCCACACCACATACCATGCAAAGCTTCATAGAGGTTGCCGTTGGGCACGAACTCATAGACCAGCAGCTGCTCTGCACCACCCTTTCATACGCTGCTATCCCCATCAACCGCACTTCCTTCCTTCCCGTGCCCACACCACATACCATGCAAAGCTTCATAGAGGTTGCCGTTGGGCACGAACTCATAGACCAGCAGCTGCTCGCCTTGCTCCGCGCACCACCCAATGAGCGACACCAGGCTGCGGTGATTTAAACGCCAGATGGTGCGCACCTGGGTGGACAGGGGAACCGCATGGAACCGCATGAAATCGCATGAAACCACATGTGAAACAATAGCTTGCTCACGGAAATTGCATCACTGACTGAGAATGCTTTTACAAAGTTAGCAACATGACTAAGAGTGAAACACTAATTGAAACTATCGCAGTGATGTGAGATATGTCAAACCCACAAACTCACCTCTCGCTCGAATGCCCCTCCTGGTCCCATGCTCCCTCTCTTCGCCCTCTTCACCGCCCACAACTCCTCACTTCGCTGCCCACCTTCCATCCCCTTCCCAGAAGCTGCTGCGTCCTTTCCACTCCTATTTCCTGATGGGTCACGTCGTGAATCAGCAACAGGGATAGCAAGTGCGCGGTAGACTGTCCCAAAAGCCCCCTCTCCTATCTTATTCTCCAAAGAGAACCCATCTGTTGCCCCGCTCAGCTGAGCAAAGGTGAAGCGGCGAGGAGCATCGGAAGGAGAAGAGGCCAGGGTCAGTGAGAGCTTGCTTCGGTTAAAGTGATTGTTGTGCTGCTGAAGGCCAGACTCGGGGTCGGCATGAATTGACCTGTTTCTAGCCCATGGCCACCAGTGCTGGCCTGGCTTCTCCCTCTGCATCGGTTGTCCTGTCTCTCTCTGCTTCTGCTGATGTCTCAGGCAGAGGAACACGGCTAGAAGGAGGAGGAGAGAAGAGAAGACGCTGCCAACAACCACAACGGCCAGCACACCCACTGACACTGCACCAACGCTGTTGGTACTGCTGCTGCTGCTGCCACTGCTGTCGCTGTCACTGCTTCTGCTGCTGCCACTGCCGTCGCTGCTGCTGCTGCTGACCCCGCTACTGCTGCTACTATTGCTGTTACCAGTGGTAGCACTCGTTTCACTGCCACTGCCACTGTTGCTGCTGCTGCTGCTATTTCTAGTGCCGTTTCCCATGCCGCTGCTGCTCTCACTGCGACCAGAGCCATTCCCCACTCCTCTACCACTGCTGCTGTTGGTGCGGTTCCGAAGGCCAGCCACTCTGCTGCGAACATAGTCCCGTGGGAAGCAGGGACCTGAGATACACCCTGAACCACACATGATGGGAGCAAGGTCGCAGGCAGCAGCAGTGCAGCACACAGGGGGTTGTAACCGAGGCCCCCTAGAGTTACCACCACCAGTGGTACCATCAGCAGTGGCACCATCAACAGCGTTACCAGAACCAGCACCACTGGTACCAGAGGCACCGTTGCTGGTAACCGTGTTACCAGCAGTTTCGCAGGGGCCCGAGAGGCAGTCAGTGAGGCAGGCAGAGCCGAGGCCACAGCCGAAGGAGGAGGAGCAGCAGAGGTAGGGCGGACAAGCCTGCGCAGCACAGTAGCGCAGCTGAAGCAGGGAGCGTGAGGAGTGGCGGAGGAGGGGGCTGCGGGATGCATCGCTGCTACCAGTAGAACCTGTAGAGGGCGTGTGAATCAGCGAGGAGGTGATCTGCGTGGTTTGAAAACTCCTGGAAATCTCATGGGAAGAGACCAGCACGGAGAGTGCTCCTAGAACGCAGCAGTCTAAGAAAGGCAGGAGAAGCCTGAATGACGCCATTGCCCTCGTTTGACCCTCGTATTTCCCTTGTTCGGTGTAAAAGAGTGCAGGTAGTGCATCACTGAAACAGATCTCTGAAGCTTAGAAGAGAGGACGTCCTCAGAACTGAAAAGAACTTAAGAGGAGCTGAGACCATTTAAGCCGTGTTAAGCTCAAGAAAAGGTTCATTCATGGACACGCCTGAGACCAGTTTCGTGTAAACCAAACGATCTTGCGTCACGGCTGGTTGCGGATCAGGAAGACTGCATCGCGATGGCTAATGTGTTCCTTCCTTCTCGCTGCTTGCAGTCCTGCGACGGTAACATGCGAGCGACGACACAAGTCGTACGGAGCATAAGTCCTGTGTCGGGTCCATTCAATATATAGCTCGCATGACTCGCATAAGTCGCAAGGAGTCGCACAGCGACAGCGAGGAAGGAGCGGAGTGTCATCCAGGAGACCTGATGCGTCGCATGGTTGCGTAACCTGACGGGATATCCGAGGAGGAATCCGCGTAGCCGTCAGGTGGGACCGTCGAAAATGCTGGTAACGGCGTCTTCGCACGCTTGTCTTCTTCATGATTGGCTGGTTGGGGTATCAGTGATCTTGGATGACACTGTCCAGGCATGACAGGCATCACAGCCGTGACAGCCATGGCAGAACGCAATGAATCCAGGGTGGCAGGGTGAAATCCGAGACGTAAACGATTGACGGTTGTCTGACGGATAGTAGCCCGACGAGTACATTGCTGCAGCAGGACCCATTGTCACTAACGGATACTTGATGGACGGACTAGATTTACCTTTTCCTGTGGCTTCTAGGTACAGATGAAAAGCTTGTGATGTCAAAATGGGAACTAGTCTAGCGGAGTTCTCAAGGTGCGGAATGGCGAAGTTCTCGGTCCAGTGTGGCGAACTTCTCCAGGTCCACGACAGACTCGCGACAGCAAACGAGTTGCACTGGCAAATTCCGCACCGAATTCGCTTGAGTTCGTGTTTTCGCAATTCTCCTTTCACACGAAAACAAACTCACAGGCTTCGCTAGCGAACTTCTCGCTGCATCTACAAGCCTGTGTCAACTGCTTTTGTCAGCAAATTGGGAATCTACTTCCGCATTTCCACCATTCCACAGCTCCTCTTTTCCACATGTTTACCGCGCACAAACGCGGTAACCGCTGTCTATCGTGTGGAAACCTAAGTGAACCGAACTGGACGATCAGAGGCCAAACAACACCACTTTATTCGCCACATTACCTCCCTGTTCTCTTGCAAACCATTCTGCTCCGTTCTCACGGATGGCGACCCCGCGTTAGTTCGCAGACAGCATTCAACAACAAGCGACGGTGTTTGCGAATTCTGAAACCGATTCCGTTCTTCCCTTACTCGTCTTCATTGGCCCCGCATAGCCGTCGTATTTGTGCCATAGGAGCCGCTTGATGACATCGCTACAATAGGCGCGTGGCGACTGAAAAGCACCCTTGTAGAAAAATTACCACCTTTCACTTAGGCCGTCAAGGGGACTCCTTTCTGGTGTTTCTCGTCAGTTAGGTTGTTTACTCAATTATCGCCGGGAATTCGTTGATTAGTCTGTTAAAAAATTCGATGCGCTGGCTCCGAAAGCGAAGTCCCGCTCTGGGAAGGTTCGGGGAAGGGTCGGAAGAGTCCCTTCCCTTGTCATGGACGTGTACGTCAAGCTCCTCCGACGACCGTCGATTCGGTCGTTTCGGTTGGCTCTCAGCCGTGCGATGCAGTGGGGAGGATCCAAGGACGGGCAGACCTTGTTCCGTTACATTTTGTTGACTGTATTAGGGGTGATACTACTGAGATGGTGCTTTGGATGGCTGGCTCCGTTCCTACATTATAACGTATACTATAAGTCCGTCTCCATCAGAAACGTGAACCGGACTTTCATGACTGACACGTGTCAGAACCTCATGAAGTTGCCATATAGGCCGTCCAATCCGGAATGGGGTAGGTTACTCACCCTTCAAACTCCACTGGCAATATTTACCCTGAGAATTTACATCACTTGCAGGCCCCCGCGTTTTCTCACGCCACTGATTTTCCTCGTGTATGCTGTTTCTTCTGGAATAACCAGACCAAGTTTCTAACTTTTCCCTTCCCAACCTCGCTCGCTCTTCTCCCCTGCTCACAGCATCATCGGCAACCCCTTCCCAGTGCCCCCTCTGCTCTGCCCAGTGCCCGCCCCTCCGCTCCCCTTCCCCCAATACCTCCACATCTCCCACCACTATCACTCTCCATGCTCTCTCCCAACCACCAAACCAACACCAGGTCGATTCACCCCGCACAGCTTAAACACGTTTGTCTTCATCTCAGCCCACCGCGTCAGCCCGTTCAATTTCGCCGTCATCTCCCAACAGTACCACTGTCCCATCCCTCTCCTTCAACAACCAATCCAACGCCAGGGCGGTTCACCCCCCACGGAGTGAACACCTTCGTCTTCATCTCAGCCCACCGCGTGAGCCCGCTCGACTTCGCAGTCATCGGCCTCTCACCCCGCTCCATGTGCTCTTGGTGACCTCCTGCCCTTCCAATGCCCCCCCTGCCCTTCCAATGGCCCCCCTGCCCTCCCACAAATCGAAACTCACTGCCAGGTCGATTTACCCCCCACGGAGTCAACACATTCGTCTTCATCTCAGCCCACCGCGTCAGCCCGCTCGACTTCGCAGTCATCGGCCTTTCCGCCCGTGGGATGCGCTCCCAGTGGCGCTCACCCCAATCCAACGGTCCACAATCGTCCTCGGAGCAGTGGGGGGAGGAGGATGAGAGCGGGGGGTGCGTGTGGGTGTCGTATGAGGGCCCGCACACCATCAAGGGCAGCTTGGAGTATCTGTTTCCCGGCGACCATGGGGGCATGCCGTATGAGACCATTGTCATCCGCTGCAATCTAGACAAGCCCACTCCAGCCGACCCTGGTGAGTGAATTCGGTATGGTTGGTAGCACACATGCGCACATGGTGCATCTGTGCTTTTGGAGTCGAGTCAAACGTATGGGCACAAGCATTTCTGTAGTCGTTTATTAATTGGGCATTATGGGCTGCCCCACTCACCCCTCCCCTCTCCCCATTTGGAGGCGGTGCTCTGTTCTACCACATTTCAGGGAGAGACATATTGGTATACCGAGAGGATGACAGAGCTAGCATAACATTGCACTCTTGCTCGCTCCTTGCCTCGTCCCCTTACCCCGCTGCAGGCGGGGCTCTCTTCTACCACATATCAGGGAGAGACATGCTGGTATACCGAGAAAAGGACAGCTGATATGTGGGCCTTGTTCACGCGCCCTCCTCGCTCCTCCCATCCCTCCCCTCCCGCAGGCGGTGCTCTCTTCTACCACATCTCAGGGAGGGACATGCTGGTATACCGAGAAGATGATCTGAGACCTCCTCACTCTGCTTCTACTGCTGCTGTGGCTGCTGCTGTGGGGGAGGTGGAGGAAGAGAGTGCATCTACTGCCAAGCGGATTCTCAACCCGCCGCGGCCGCTGCCGCACCACATCTCCTTCTGCTCGCTGCTCATTGACCGCGAGGTGAGCGTTGCCTGCACAATTGCAATGTATGGGGAAGGTACAAAATGATTCTCATGGCCCCTAAGACCGAATTCTCAAGTTTGCCCACCATGAAGTTTGCCCACCATCAGAGCTTTTCCGAAGCTGATGGTATCCAGGTGGGGCAGGGCCCCACTTTGGCCACCAAACCTGCTTTTGGCAGGCGACAGGGGTCGCCCGGATCGCATGACAGGTGTACATTCAAATCCAATTCGCCTCCAATAGAAACCTCCCGTCAAATCGCACGCTGAAGGTGCAATAAAATTCGTGAACCAATCACCTAACGGCCATGCCTGACGGTCGCGCCAGTCAAGATTTTCTTACAGCAACTACCACGTAACCAGGCTTTCCGTCAGCACAACCTCCCAAACCACCAATCGTGGCACGATCAATGACGTCACGTCGCACATTGACGTGCAGGCGGAGAAATGCGACCGTGGCCGTTCGGACCGAAGTCGAGCCGCGTGGGCAAACATTGAAATGTGAATAAATTTCAAATTCAACATTCCGAGCCGCGTGGGAAGACTTCGGATGGTGGGCAAACTTCAGAATGCGGCCTAAGAACACGCTGCCACACCACATCTCCTTCTGCTCGTTGCTCATTGACCGCGAGGTGAGAGCTGCGCTTGGAAAAGGAATCTGTTTCTTGAGTAGCCATTGCTGTGCTGTCGCACCAGACGTTGCTCTGCACTCCTGTCTGCGCGCTCCTCATTGACCAGTAGGTCAGCGGCGCACGCCTTCAAGGTCGTTTTTGAGGCGCCTCAAAAGTCGCACCAGACGTTGCTCTGTACTCCTGCCTATACACTCCTCATTGACCAGTAGGTGAGCGGCGCATGCCTTCATCGCCCACCCATTGTCGTGTGCTCTTTCTGTCGTGTGCTCACCCATCGTCTACCTCTTTCCCCCCCATCCCCACCCCTCTCACAGTACACCCCAGCGCGAGTCCTCGAGCACATGCAGTACCTGCTCTTCTTTGGAGCAGATGATTTCATATTCTACGATGGTGGCGGGTTCACGGACGGCTTGCGGAATGCTGTGGCGAGTTTTACGGAAGCTGACATGCTAAAGGTGGTGGACCTGCGCGGACTAGCAGAGTAAGTATGGGGTGTCGAATGCGGTTGACTTGGTTGACGTGGGTTGACTTGGTCAACATGGATTGACTTGAATTGTCTTGGGGGTATTGTCTACTGCATGCGGTTGACATGGATTGACGAGATGCTGCATCTCGGGGTGGAAGCAGACATGCTGCAGGTGGTGAACCTGCGGGGGCTAGCAGAGGAAGTCTGTTATCTCTGGCTCTAGTCGACCCCAGTTGACTTGACTTGGGTTGAATTCTTCTTGTGCTTGATTCTTACGTGCGCTTCACAAGTGCTCTCTCTCAATCTCTTCCGTTCCCCCCCTCAAACTCCCTCTGATCCCTTCCCCCTCCCAGCCTGCCAGCACGACATAATGTCATCACAATGAACGACTGTCTCTACCGCACGCGATTCACCTCCGAGTGGGTCATCTCACTAGCATTTGACGAGCTGCCCTCCCTTTCCTCCCACCCAACCCTTGGTCCCACAGTTTACCAGCACGACATAATGTCATCACGATGAACGACTCTCTACCGCACGCGATTCACCTCCGAGTGGGTCATCTCACTAGCATTTGACGAGCTGCCCTCCCTTTCCTCCCACCCAACCCTTGGTCCCACAGTTTACCAGCACGACATAATGTCATCACGATGAACGACTGTCTCTACCGCACGCGATTCACCTCCGAGTGGGTCATCTCGCTCGCCTTTGACGAGCTGCCTCACGTCGTCGGCCCCTTCCGCCTCTCCACCCTCCTCGCTTACCACGCCGGCCGTCCCTGGCTCTCCATGGGCTCCTACTCCTGGCACATCGAGCTCTGCCTGCCCATCACAGGTGGGTTCTGAGTCAACTCAAGAGGCGGGTGGGTGCGTGAGCCACACAGTGTGGGTGGGCCCCTTCCTTATCTTCCGCCTCTCCACCCTCCTCGCCTACCACGCCAGTCGTCCCTGGCTGTCCATGGGCTCGTACTCCTGGCACATCGAGCTGTGTCTCCCCATTACAGGTGTATCTTGAAGTCAAGCCAGCACGTTCGTCCCCTTCCGTCTCTTCCCTTCCGCCTCTCCACCCTCCTCGCCTACCGCGCGAGCCGTCCCTGGCTCTCCATATATTGGCTCCTGCTCCTGGCACATCAAACTGTGTCTCCCCATCACAGGTATTCTGTCAGTCCCAGAGAGATAGAGGAAGACTCATGTTTTGCGAGGAGTGAGTCGCAGCTGGGTGGGTGGGTGTGAGTCACACAGTGTGGGTCCGTCCCTTTCCTCCCTCTCCGCTACAATTGGGTCCTCACAGCCCTCTTCTTCCTCTGCCCTTTGTTTCTCCCTCCCTCCCTCCCTCCCTCCCTCCTTTCCCAACAACAGCGCCCGACCACTGGCTACAGCAGCGCATGGTGTTCCGATCCGTCCACGCCACATGCCGTCCCAACAGCACCCGCCTCACAGCCCTCTTCTTCCTCTGCTCTTTGTTCTTCCTCCTTTCCCATGTGTCTTAACCACAGCGCCTGACCACTGGCTACAGCAGCGCATGGTGTTCCGATCCGCCCACCCCACATGCCGTCCCAACGGCGCCGCCATTACTCCCACCGTCACCCCCACAATCATCACCACACCTCCTCCTCCCCCTCCCCCTCCTGCTTTGAATGGGGCCTCTGCCAACACCACCGGCAATGCCACCACCAGCCAGCTAGCAGACACAGCAGCAGCAGCAGGCGGCACAAACGCGAGTGTGACTGTAACAGAGGGGCCATCAGAGCCGTTGTTTTCAGGAGGAGACCCCAACATGTGCCTTGGTGAAGCGGGCATGCGGAGAGTGATGTTCGACCCTCGCCAGGTGAGCGATTATTTTTTGAGAAGTATCAAAGTGACCTTTTGAGGCGTCTCAAGAGTCCATAGCAAAGGGGCCATCGGAACCATTGTTTTCAGGAGACCCCAACATGTGCCTTGGTGAAGCAGGCATGCGACGGGTGGTTCGACCCTCGCCAGGTGAGAAGTGCATTGTAAGGCGTCTCAAAAGTCTGGAACAGAGGGGCCATCAGAGCCGCTGTTCTCAGGAGACCCCAACATGTGCCTCGGAGAGGCGGGCATGCGGCGAGTGATGCTTGACCCTCGCCAGGTGAGCATCGTCTCAAAAGGCGAGTGATGAGCATTGACAGATGAGCAATTCCTTCTCAGATGTTGCAAAAGGCTATAACAGAGGGGCCATCGGAGCTGCTGTTGTTGGGAGACGGTATTGGCTGCACCATACGCAATTAAAGCATCTCGTTCCATTTCTCCTACTCTTTATGTCACTTCCTTCCTCTCTTTAGTCACTTCCTTCCTCTCTTTAGTCACTTCCTTCCTCTCTTTAGTCACTTCCTTCCTCTCTTTAGTCACTTCCTTCCTCTCTTTAGTCACTTCCTTCCTCTCTTTAGTCACTTCCTCTCTTTAGTCACTTCCTTCCTCTCTTTAGTCACTTCCTTCCTCTCTTTAGTCACTTCCTTCCTCTCTTTAGTCACTTCCTTCCTCTCTTTAGTCACTTCCTTCCTCTCTTTAGTCACTTCCTTCCTCTCTTTAGTCACTTCCTTCCTCTCTTTAGTCACTTCCTTCCTCTCTTTAGTCACTTCCTTCCTCTCTTTAGTCACTTCCTTCCTCTCTTTAGTCACTTCCTTCCTCTCTTTAGTCACTTCCTTCCTCTCTTTAGTCACTTCCTTCCTCTCTTTAGTCACTTCCTTCCTCTCTTTAGTCACTTCCTTCCTCTCTTTAGTCACTTCCTTCCTCTCTTTAGTCACTTCCTTCCTCTCTTTAGTCACTTCCTTCCTCTCTTTAGTCACTTCCTTCCTCTCTTTAGTCACTTCCTTCCTCTCTTTAGTCACTTCCTTCCTCTCTTTAGTCACTTCCTTCCTCTCTTTAGTCACTTCCTGCCACCTCTTGTCCACCTTCCGAGGTGCAAGCCATGGCAGAGCATTATTCTGCCATTCTGTTCCTCTCATCCTTCTGTTCCTACCACCTCGTATCCACCCTCTCAGGTGCAAGCCATGGCAGAGCACTACTCTGCCATTCCCTTCCGTGGGGGAGTGGATTTAAACGCCTCCGTTATGCACACAAATAAGTACACTGTAAGTGTTTTTTTACTGTACACATCAGATTCGCATTGACCAACAGTACACTCACCAAGCCACACGTCTAATGGCTTGGGAGTGCAGTCATTCGTAATCACATCAGTGCACATACCGTACATGTGCAATATCTTGCACCCGTTACACGCACTTTTGATGCGCTCTCGACTCCTTATTTCTATCTTCCCTTCTGTCGCTTGCAGGGATTGCTAGAGCCTGCAGCGCTAATCTGCGAGTATCACCTAACGAAGGGGTCAGAGCCACGCAGTGTCTCCAATAAAAATCCAGCTCCATAATTCTATCTTCCCTTCCCTTCCCTTCCCTTCCCACCCCTACAGGGATTGCTCGAGCCAGCAGCGCTGATCTGTGAGTATCACCTAATGAAGGGGTCAGAGCCACGGAGCTACAAGAGGAAGATGCATGTAGCCAAGCTCATCCGCCAGGGCAGACAGGCGGGGTTGATATCGCTTCCCGTTAAAGAGTGATCCTTATGAAGAGGACACGTAAAGAGGGCATTGCCATTATTGGTATGCTTGATGATCTGTGAGTACGGTATCACCTAATGAAGGAGTCAGAGCCACGCAGCTACAAGAGGAAGATGCATGTTGCCAAGCTCATTCGCCAGGGCAGACAAGCGGGGTTGATATCGCTTCCCGTTAAAGTGTGATACTTATAAAGAGGATACGTAAAGAGGGCATTGCCATTATTGGTATGCTTGATGATCTGTGAGTACGGTATCACCTAATGAAGGAGTCAGAGCCACGCAGCTACAAGAGGAAGATGCATGTTGCCAAGCTCATTCGCCAGGGCAGACAAGTGGGGTTGATATCGCTTCCCGTTAAAGTGTGATACTTATAAAGAGGATACGTAAAGAGGGCATTGCCATTATTGTTATGCTTGATGATCTGCGAGTATCACATAATGAAGGGTTCAGAGCCACGCAGCTACAAGAGGAAGATGCACGCAGCCAAGCTTGTTTAAAGGCAATGTGGTAGTTTGTTCCATGTGGCAATATTTGGACAACTGAAATACTCAACCGGTTGACACATCCCTAAGCGAACAACACTTCTGGTGCAGATTTTGCAAAGTCTGCAGCTTGTGAGCGGCATCTATGAGTAATCGTCTGCTTTGAGTTATTTTGAGTGCCCTTATGACTTCTACATGTTTAACACCTAAGAGGAGCATTTATGCCGTCTGCAGGTTGTGGCGGGCCATGGCTGCTTTGAGCGCGACCTTTGCAAGCCCCTCTACTCTGCCGTCTTCCCCCCAGCAGCTTCAAGGACGAGAGCTTCTAAGCCGTCTGCAGATTCTTAGCCGTTGCTGCTTTGAGCGATCGCATGAGCGCACCGACCTTTGCCAATCCTTCCTCCGCCGTGTCGCTTCCCCCCAGCAGCTTCACCAGTGCTGACCCCACGATTACTCCGTCCGCTCCCCATGACACCACCTGATGGGGGGAGGAGGTGAAGCACAGAAAGAAGAACAAGAAAAGTATTAGTAAAAGGATGTGTTTTCTTCATCCCTTCCTCTGCCGTCTCACTTCCCCCCAGCAGCTTCACCAGTGCTGACCCCACGATTACTCCGTCTTCTCCCCATGACACCACCTGATGGGGCGAGCGGGAGATGGGAAGAGGCATGTGGGAAGAAGTGTAAGGGGAGACAAAGACATGAGCAGACTAAGGCATGAACTTATCAATTCACTGTAGCCACTCATTCATTCACTCATTCATCACATAGACGCACCTGCTCAGCATGCTCAGGGGCAGAGATGCCGAAGCCCACAGCGACGGGCTTGTCTGTGGTGGCCTTGATGTCTTTGAGAAGCTGCTCCACCCGCCCCTGCACTGCCTCCCGCTCGCCCGTCACTCCCGTTAGACTCACCTGCGAGACAGTCACACGTGAACAAAATAGAGGCAGTCACCAATCACACATGTACGCATGCAAGCATACAATAGCAGCAACGGAAATGGAACAGGGTATATGCTGCCGTGTGCAATGTTGAGGGATAATTGGAAATGGAAATCAGGAAGGACGGACATCACATGCGGGAGAGAGTGGGCGAGGGAGAAGTTGAGGTGAGGAGAAAGAGCAGGGAGGGGAGAAGGTGCGGAGGAGAAAGGACAGAGGAAGAGGGGCGAAAATGAAGAAATGCAGATGCTTACAAGGTAGAGGAAGCCTTGCGTGACGTCAGCAATGGCTCCCATTCTCTCTGTGGGGGTGGTGGGCGTTGTTAGCAGCACCTTTGGAGAGAGGAGGAGAGAGGGGGGCGGAAGAGGGGGAGAGAGAGAGCGGGACGGAGGAGCGAGGAAGTTAGCAGTCGCGGGCTCTCGCAGCGCCTGAGTCTCCTACTGAGGCACGTCTAGCACCACAAGGCCTGTCGGCCGCTAGACCAGCAACAAGCATTTGAGGGCTGAACCATAAGGCATTAGAGTTCTGAGATGTCCCAAAGCTGGATCACCTGCCGACGGCTGGGCACCTGAAGGCCCAGCGATGGGGGGCGGGTCAGCGATGGGGGGCGGGTCAGCGATGGGGGGCGGGTCAGCGATGGGGGGCGGCACAGCGGGGATGGCGGGCACATGACTCGTGGGTGCACCATGCACCTCAGGCACTTCATCCTCTATGTGCTGGCACGCACACGCGCAGTCATGGGCAGCGGCGCAGTCATGGGCAGCGGCGCAGTCATGGGCAGCGGCGGAGTCATGGGCAGCACTATTGCAGGCACAGGCGCAGTCATGGGCAGAGGCAGAGTCATGGGCAGCGGCGTTATTGCAGGCACAGCGAGCAGACTCGGTCCAAGGTGCATCCGTGGCATATGGCTCCTTGGGCCCATTGCACGCCCACGCACACGATGCACAAGCCACGCCGGGCTTGTTTTGTCTCCGATCCCATGAGGCACGGCCACAGGCACACGCATGGGCACAGTCACAGCCACGGGCACAGACACAGCCATGGGCAGGGGAAGCAGGCAGAGTTGTAACCATGGCAGAGGCAGGGAGATTTGACAGCCCTTTCTCAAGCCTATGAGCAGGTCCAGCTACACACGTATGAGGAGTACTCGTTTCAGCTGCGAGACTCAATGCGACGGCAGCTTGAGTCGGCATGTTAAAGGGGCTGCCTGCGATAGATTGTGAGGCAGAGACCCTAGGTTCAGGGAGAATAGCAGGCACAGCAGCAGGCACTGTCCCGAGAGTGTCAAGGGCAGAGCACTCTATGATAGAATCAGCAACCGACAGCAGGAAAGCCGCCACTTCGAGCTCGTTAGCAGTCGCCAGTTCCCGCAGCACCTAAGTCTCCTACAGAGGCACGTCCGGCACCACTATGCCTGCCAGTACTCAAGTCCTCCTCACCAATCCTAACCAGACAACTCCACCAATTCTAGCCAGACATTTCACCCATATTCACCTCGAGCCCGTGTGCAGTTGTAACCTTTTGCAGCACCTGAGTATCCTCCAGAGGCACGTGCGGCACCACCATGAGTCAGAACTACTGCTAGACCACCACCACCACCACCACCACGCATCATGCCTGCAACCCGTTGCTCACCAGCTCGAGCAAGTTAGAAGTCGCCAGCTGCTCGTGCAGCACAGAAGTTTCTTCCAGAGGCACATCCGGCACTACTCGAGTCCTGCTGGCACTCCAGTCCTTTTCTCACCACCCATCTCAACGAGACACGCTCACCCATGCTCACCAGTTCAAGCCTGTTAGCAGTTGCCAGCTCGCGCAGCACGGACGTTTCTTCCAGAGGCACGTGCGGCACCACTATGCCTGCTGCCCCCCACTCCAGTCCTCCTCACCCATCCTCGCTAGACACGCTCACCCATGCTCACCAGTTCGAGGCCATTAGCAGTCGCCAGTTCTCGCAGCACGGATGTTTCCTCCAAAGGCACGTCCGGCACCACTATGCCTGCTGCCCCCGCGGCTTTAATCTCCGCCATGAACTTGTTGACGCCGCGCTTCATGATGGGATTGTAGTAGGTGAACAGGACGATGGGCGCGGGGAGAGACGGGGTGACCTGTGGGGACAAGGGTTTAGGGGGGAAGAGGGGGGGTGTGGTGGCTTCATTACCCCATGAACTTGTTAACGCCGCGCATCATGATGGGATTGTAGTAGGTGAACAGGACTATGGACGCCGTGAGGGAGGGCGTGACTCGGTGGTGGGAAATGTGGGGAGGGAGGATAATGAGGGGGGGGGGGGCATGGTGGGGAAGGGAGAGCGGGGCGGCTTGATATTCAGCATGAATTTGCTAAGATGAAACGCCGTTTCATGATGGGTGGTTGCAGTAAGACAAGATTGAAGGGGTTGGGAGAGGGGAGAGGGGGATGGCAGGCAGGCATACCCGTTTGAGGAGGTCGATGACTGACTGCAGATCCGTGCGGCTGGCCAGGGCTCTGGTGGCAGATGCCTGCGATACAAGAACAAACACACAAACACGTATAATCACACACATTCGGTAGGCCATTTCGTTTCAATCACACTAATACTACCACCACACACCAATAGGTCGAGTTTCTGTTGGAGTTCCTTTCTTGCAATATTAAGAAAACCCTATGCCAGCTGGAAATATACACTGATGCACGCATGCCACGCTGCGAGATGCCAGTAACGGGGACGGAGTGTACCTGGATAACGGGCCCGTCAGCAAGCGGGTCCGAGTAGGGCACGCCCAGCTCGATGACGTCAGCGCCCGTTTCGCACAGTAGCTTCAACGCGCGCTCCGTGGTGCCAATATCGGGGTCCCCCGCGACTATAAAGGGGATGAGCGCCACCTGCGGCGGTTGGCACGGGGAGGAGAGTAGACTCGCGAGGTGAGACACAATGTGGACGCGGGAGGGGCAGGTGAAGGAACGAGGGTGGAGGGAGGAGAGAGGGTGGTTCATGCAGTGCAATCGTGGGGAATAAATGCAGGGGAGCAGGGGAGTGGGGGAGCGATGGAGTGGGGAGGAGTTGGAAACTGGGTGGGGTCGGAGAAAAAGGGGGAGTGGATGAAACAGAGAAATACGCTCAATGCGCGCTGCGACCAGCGTGTAGCTAGATGGCACTATGTCCACTGTGCGCGTGGCGAGAAGAAATTGGTTCCCATACTAGAAGGTTAAGCTTTAGGGTCCTTATATCGAAACGGCCAATTGTGATTGAGCTAATCAAGCTGACCGTTCTGGTAAAGCGAGGTGACTATACCCGAAACCCTCGTTACACTGGGAACCGCCTACTCACTTCATTCTTCGCGCGAAGCTCTGCGAACTTCTGCGAAACGCTCTGCGACGAGCACGTTGTCGCCAACGCGCCGCCTCGCCTGTGGCCGCTGCTAGCGCGGGAAACAGCCACTGAAAGCGGCCGTCCTACCACACTCGACGAAGCGGACTTAATCTCCTTTGCACCGCAGAATGCGGCTGAAACGACACGTGGACAGCGAGAGGCTTCACCGGGTCCCGCGTTTTGCGCGGTAGGAAGCGCTGTAAGGCCTCTGTGAGCTGACGTCATCGTCGCCA